AATAATAATAATAATAATAATAATAATAATAATAATAATAATAATAATAATAATAATAATAATAATAATAATAATAATAATAATAATAATAATAATAATAATAATAATAATAATAATAATAATAATAATAATAATAATAATAATAATAATAATAATAATAATAATAATAATAATAATAATAATAATAATAGTAACCCGTATTAGCCAGAAGACTGAAAGAAAAAAGCTCCCAATTTGTGACAATTACAAAGTAAACCAGTAAAAGATCTACTGAATGATGCAGATGTTGTTATTAGAACAGTCCCAACCAACATGCTAAAGGAAACAAACCAGCTCATGTACAGCGCAGCTACTACAATAACCCTGGAACTTCGTTACAAGCTGCAAAAACCCCAGAAAACTCATAGCACCCCAAAATGGAAAATTTGGCTAGAAAGAAAAATAAACAAATCAAGTGCAGACATTAGCAACTTAAAACACTTGAAATATTCAAAACTTTAAAATGAAAAAGTAAAAGATATACTATGCAAAACCTAGAAAGGAAAACAATTGTTGAAACCATGGAAGAATTAAAACAGCTATAGTGAAGAAAATTGAAAGATATGATGGACACTTGAAATAATATAGAGAAAACAAGCAATTTTGAAATAACCAACACTTATTCTATACATCACACTAGGAGAAATTGCAGAGCAAATGAAATTAGGCCAACGTGAAGATGATGCTCTAAAATTTTCAGAAAAAAATGTGGGAAAGCCCAACTGGACATAATAAAAACATCTAGTGGATTAAAGACATTTGTAAAGAAACTGATTAAGAGGCAAGTAAAGGCTGTGAAAATTTGGAATGTACCTGGTCCACATGAACTGCACTAGTTTTGGTTAAAGTATCTAACAAGTCTCCATTGACATACAGCAGTGCAATTTAACCACTTAAAAATTCTACAACAGAAGTCTGGATGACAACAGGCTGCACACTTCTGATATTAAAAGATCATCAAAAGGGCAATGAACCCAGTAATTACTGACCAATTACATGCCTTCCAACAATGTTCAAGCTCCTCACAGGAGTACTTGAAAGATCAATATATACCGTATTTTTCGCACGATAAGACGCACTTTTTTCCCACAAAACGGGGGTGGAAAGTCTGTGCGTCTTATGGAGCGAAGAAAACAGATTATATTTTCCTGTTTTCTTCTCCTAAAAAATTGGTGCATCTTATGGAAAGGTGCGTCTTATGGAGCGAAAAATACGGGTAAGTACTTAACTGAAAACTCCCTATACCCAACCGAACAGAAAGGGAACTTTAAAAAGTCAAGAGGCATAAAAGATCAGTTCCTTATTGATATTATACTAAAGAATACAAAAAGACAAAAATAAACCTCAACATGGCCTGGATAGACTATAAAAAGGCATTTGACTCATTGCCACACAGCTGGATTAACACCTACCTAAAAAATTTTGATGTTAGTAAAATCATTCAGAAGTTCCTCAAGAAAAACATGGAAAAATGGAAAGTTGTCTTACGGTAAAGGCCCATGGTAAAGAAATAGGGAAAGGAATCACTGCTAAACACAGTGCAAATATTTAGTGAAGATATCCAAATGAAATTTTGAATTGACAAATGTGCAGCTCTGTCAATATATCGTGGCAAGATTCAAAAACTAGATCGAATAGAGTTTTAAAAGGGCAATATTATAAAATCACTATCAAGTCATGAAAATTATAAATAGCTTGGGATACTAGAAGTAGGTAACATTGTCCACACAAAAGAACTGACAGAAAGAGAATATATCAAAAGACTGGAAAATTTAAAATCAAAATTAAATGGTGGAAATACAATCAAAGCCATAAACATGGGCCATTCCAGTAATCAGATACCCAGCTGGAATAATAGTTTGGACTCAAAATGAATTCGAAGAATTTGTTCGAAAAACACAGAAACTAATGAACATGCATCACACACTACCTCCAAAAAGTAACGTGGACAGATCATATTTACCATGAAAAATCAGAGGCTGTGCATTACTGCAGATACAGCAGGTAGTAGAGGAGGAAAAATAAGTCTTTTTATCAGTACAAGCAGAGAAAAATTACTTAAGGCAGTAAAAATGGAGAATATTTTGAAAATGACAGAATCAAAGGCTCAATATAACAAACAACAATTTGGAAATAAATTTAACAGCTGGAAAAACAAACCACTACATGGACAAAACTTGAGAAATATTGATGGAAAGCATGATCATAATTCAACTTGGGCATGGATAAAACTGGGGACTCTTAAGAATGAAAGCAAAGGACTGATTTTTGATGTACCAGAATGAACACTCCAAACCAATGTGATGAAAGCTAAGATCCAAGGAGCTAGTGCTAACAGCAAATGTCAACTCTGCTAAGAAAAAGATGAAATTGTGTCACACTTCATCCGTGCATGTCCAAAGATTGCACAAACAGGTTACAAAGTTAGACATGATAGAGTGGCAAAATTCCTGCGCTGGTCATTATGCAAAAATATAACTTGCCAGCCTCCAAAAAGCCGTGGGAACATCAGGTAGAGAAAATGAAGAAGTCAAGATCTTGTGGGATTTCCAGATCCAAACTGATGGACACCTTGAACATAACACACCAGACATAGTAGCAATAGAACAAAGAAATGTCTGGATCATTGACATGGCATTTCCAGGGGATGCCAGAGTTGAAACTAAAGAATTGGAAAAACTTAGCAAAGTACAGAGACTTGGCAATCGAAACATTTTGCTTGTGGATGAAACACACTTCAGTGGTCCCTGTAGTCACTGGGGCTTTTGGAACAATATCCAGAAATTTCACACAGTACAGTACTACAAGCAGCTGCAGATCTCAGAAATAACACCATCAGAGCTACAAAACAGCAATACTGTATTAGGAACAGCCTGCATACTAGGCCAATATTTAACAGATACTTAGGATTTTGTTTAAAACTTGTATATAATACAATATATTTTATTTATATAATACCAGTCAATGTTTTTATTATTTTGACTGTGCCTGGTGTTTTTATCATCATCATCATCATCCAACTTTCCCTTATTCCCCTTTCGAAGGACAGTCAGGAGACAATACAGGGACATGGAAGCTGAGAGGGAAGAACAACATAAATAGGGTTGGTCTCAAGTGTGGTATGGCTTCTTGTTCTTTGTGTGTGAATACTGTATGAAGGTAGTGCTAAATCTCAGACCACACTTTCAGGTGGGCTTGTTTAGCTTAGTTCAGTCCAGGATTCCTTCACCATCTAGCCACAGCTATAGTTAGTGAATGGTAAACCAATTCTTGTATAAATCCCATTAATTCAAAGGGTCTGTTCTAGCTGAAACAATCTATTCTAGTCGAAACAGTCTCACAACTGGAGTTTGGCCTCTTCTTTTATGAACATCTTTTTGTGTCCTTTTTTTCTCAGTCTTGCTATTGCTTTTACATAGATTTGATTCTATAGCTGCTAATATTACTATTGGTTCAATGCCAGGTCTTATGTTGTATATTTTATAGTTGTAGCTCTATTTTATTAGCTAAACAAAGAGGTTTGGCTATTTAATACTACAGAAATCTAATAACATTAAATGACTTGATGCTGAAGACAGTAGTGTTTCCATAATTTAGCCACTGAGGACATCATATATTAATGTTCTGGTTAGGCTTGACAGTTTTCATCTATGCACGCTGTGGATTAATTATTTGAAAAGTTTTTTTGCAATGGGCTAGATAATTAAGATAACTCAAGTTCAGCCTTTTTTGCTGTTTGTTATAGGCTAATATTAAAGATGCAAGATCAAGACAAATTTTCCGTCACATTTTGCTGTGTATTGTATCTTTTAATTTCCTAAATAAAGGATTACAGCACACTTTGAAGATATAGTGTGGCTAGAGCAGATGTAGGCAAAGGTGTCATGAAGATCATGGGAGTAAACGTGCTAATCCCTTGTACCAAAAACAACAAAGAGTTTCATAAGGCTTTACAAATTTGCTGCAAAACAAAATTCATAGGGTGGAGGGACCTTCTTCATCAGAAGCGCGGCTAGTGTGTAGTTTGCTCAAGCCTGCTGCAGAAAAGAGAAGCAAATTTCACTTATTCAGGTTTATGGCATTTGCTCTTCCTTTCACATCACTTGTGTGTAACACATCCAAGAGAACTGGGTGGAAAATAGCCATTAGCAAACTTGTAGAATGAAAGCAAATAAGGTATTAGATAAAGTAGTGCACAGTGCAGAATTAAAAGAGCATATTAAAATAGTTTTTAAAAGTAGTCTAAACCAGCCATTCTCAACCTTTTTAATTTTTATTTTTGGCCATAACCATAGATAAAACAAATCTAGGCAAAACCAGGATTGTATAAATTGCATAACAAACAAACAAGATGGTGTGTGAGGGATTGTTTCCAGTCTGTGGCCTTCTTCAAATGTACAGTACCAGGGGCTCCCAGGGGGCCATACGGCCCCATTTAGAATGGCTGGTCTAAACCATAACTAGTCTTATTGATGAGGATGGATGTGCAACCTCTTACCTAGGATTACAGCACAGTAAATGCAGCATAGTAGCATATGGTCCCAAAAGAACATTCATGTTTTTACCACTTGACTTATGAGCATATTCTGGATGCAGTTTTTCTCCTGATGCACTAGAACTAAAATGCATCTAGCACACATAAATACTGAACTGAACAATATACCTAAGACTACACTTCCCCTTAACAGAGTATGGGACCTGCCATTTTATACACGGCTGGCAGTGTTCATCTGGAGTTCTTCCAGGGCAATTTTATTTTCCATTATGTTTTTAACCAGAAAAATTCACAATCTCTTCTTTCAAAAAAAAAAACACAAAAAAATCACACAGGGCTGGCTACAACTGAGACACACTCTCTGCCAGCTTAATATAGACAATAGCAAAATGGCTCCTATTTCCAAAACACGACCTTGCCTCCATAAAATTCCTTGTCTCCATAAAAGCCTTCAGGTAGCATAGCTCCCGATTGGTTCTTCACTCAGGTGGTGGTGGGGAAAGCACTGCACCGCTTGTGCTATAACCAGGTATAGAATTATATAATTGACTTAGAAACATAGTAAAGTGATATGCTCTGAAATTGGTCTATACGCCAAAGAATTGTCAGGTCCCCCCCCCCGCCCCGGTTGTCCATTTTCCTGAGCATAGAGAAATTTCCCTCCAACTGTCAAGGAAGGAGAGGGAAGGAGATTACGTATAAGGAAAGAGAAATGAGGCCTCTGCCTGTGAGACTGGGATGGGGCCAAGGTGCAGAAAAGGGAGGGAAGGCCCACAGAAGTCTCGTGGTTCTTAGCTTTAAATGTCTTATACTGATGCAAGCCGCCTTGGGTCCTTTTTAAGGAGAAAGGCAGGGTAAAAATATGTTAAATAAGTAAGTCAAGATGACAGAAAAGCTAGGGCACAATTTAGCATCTCCTCCCACCCACCCCCTATCCTCACACCAGTGGTCAAGGGAATTACCTGAGGAGGTCGTAAGCACAGGGCTTATGCTGGGTTCACGAACAGGAGCAATGCACTCACTCCTTCAGCCTGTTTGTGTGAACCTTCTAGGGCACACTTTGCAGCTTAACTTCTTTCCAGGAAGCCTCAGTGGCCTTGTGCTTTACATCCACAACAGAGGCCAAGCCAGGCTTTGATATTTGCACAGGGCCTCACTGGTCGTGGCAGGGGTGGGGGTGGAGAGGATAGTTCCAAGGAAACCTGACAATGAGTAAAATGTGCCCTTAGGATTCATTCCTTCAAAATTGCTTCAGAAACCAATGAGACAAGATGAGGACTATTCTTTCAGCCCACACCAACAAACACTTCTGAAACAAGGATTCCTGAATTATTTTCTAACCGATAAAATTACAATGAAAGTAACACATGGTGTTGGTTCAGGAGTGAGACTGATGGTTTAGAATTAGACAGACAAATTACAGGGAATCTTGGGCTCACGTGTTTGCCCTCTCTGCAGTAGTGTATATACCACAAGAGGTGATAGGACGCATCTCTTCCCAGTCTTGTCACATCTGAACAATTTGGTAATGGTTTGGTGGAAATAACTATTGTTTAAACTCACTATATTCTCTAAGATTTGGACATAATAATGAATGTTGGTTGTTTAATATAGAAAACAGAAACTTCCAATCTGTTCTTTAGAATGTGCCAGAGCAGGGAGATCAACTCACTCACAGAATGCTAATTCTACAGTACTTTGTTAAATGTTAAAAAATTTAACAGGGAGTAACAAATGTCCTGCTGGGAAAAAATGTGATGGACAGGGGGAGCACATTGAAATGTACAATTTCTGTGGTAAGTCATTCCAGTCACAGTCTAGAGAAGTACAGTATTTGGTTTATTCAATGCCATCATCTACAGAATGTCTTGACATCCTTCCCTGCTCAGCATTTGTTCAACTGCAGAACAGGGCATGGAAATTCAGAGTGTTGCTAGTGACTTGATTGATTTTGCAACTTTGAACACAAGAGGGCTTCTAGACAGACTAGCGATTGGAAGAAGTGAAAAGTACAGTAATGATGAGCCATTCATGCATGAGATTTTATGTGATTTTAAACTGATTATTTTATTGTTATTTCAGACAACGAAACTTTTGACTATATCACAGAGCAGGAAATATGTTTGCGGTTGTGAAGTATCTCGCCATAGACTATTTATATGAGGTATACTGTCAAAGCTCTACATCTCTTTCTCTCTCAGAAATCAGATAGAAAAGTTACATCTAAAAGTACAGACTGTTATTTAGAAAAGAGAGCATGAAATTAGATTCTCTTTCAATTTACTTTTATTATTAAGACAGTATAACAGTTAATTGAAGGCCAGTGTGGTGTAGTAGATAGAGTGATATGAGACTCAACAGATATGCGTTCAAATCATCACTTGGCCATGGAGCCCCTCAGGGGGAGGGGTGCCAGTTATAAACCAGTTCTTGAACATTTTACATACCTTGAAAATCTTACTCGTGTTGCCGTAAGTCTTAAGTGATTTGGCAACCCATAACAAATTGAAATTTTGATGTGCTTAAAATGCTGTGTAGAAACAACTACAGTATATGTTTTTAAATATGAAGTCACAGTATGATTTAGAAAAGCAACAATTTCTTGACACTGTACAGAACTTCTGATATTACTGTACTTTTTAACTCTCTTCTGTGCATCTCAGGGCCTTGCTAGATGAGGTGTTAATTGTTCAAACAGAAACAGAGCACTGTAAGAGGAAAATATTGTACTGTAGATGAAATCTTAATAAGCTCCTGCAGAGGATACTGCTTCATCCATGGAGTTTCTGCTTTATCTCCATCTTACCATTATACAATAAATATCACCCCATTGGGGAGGAGTGGATTCTTGTTTGCACAAGGCAATAGTGGATATCTTTGTGCAAGCTTGCTAAAAGTAAACCCTCTGCTGAAATGGGCCCTGACTGAAAGTTGCTTCAATCCATATTTGGCAAATTACTTGTTTTTGTTTTGTAACTCGTCAGTTGGGAGAAAGCATGGTATATTTGCATGTTTGATTTCTTAAGGCACCTACCATTTTATCTGGATGCTGCAGGGATAATGTAAGAAAATCAAATAAACATCCGTCTTAATATGTAATCTGTTCTCTTGGGTCAGGAAGATGCTGTGAAATCAAAAGGTACCTTTTTAATTTTCAGAATAATTAACTATTTGCACTTTAAAATGTGCACCTATACCAGTTTGTTTTATTCTGCTCTGATATGTGCAAACTGGTGTTCATTTTCTTTAAAGAGAACTTCTACAGTACAAGTCAATCAAGATTAAGAAGTCTCTGTAAAATCTAGGGCTTTGTGTTATCATGCAGTACTAAATACAGTTACCTGTACTGGGTTCCTTTCAGTAGAGTTGAACTTATTTATTTGGATTGAAGTGAATATCTACAGGATTGTACTGCACATCTTTTGTTTTATAATCAATGGAAGTTAATTTTGGCTTCAACAAATGTGTGAAAACTGTGAGCATATGATAAGTAGATGTAAAATATGAATGCACACGAAATGATTTGGCAAAAGGTAATGCAACTCCTAATGTGATTGCTGTACAATTCCAGTGAAAAGATGAGCCAAGACAGACCATACTAATGCAGTGTTGCTGTACTAGTATGATTATTTGGAATGCAGTAAATTACTATAGTATGAGTTATGTTAGAGTAGTTTCATTCATAATTATGTCCATTTTCTTGTGCAGAAAATGGTTAAGGAGAGACTTGCCTTTGACTGCTTAGAAATTCACACCCCTTCCTGCTTGTACCAGGATAAGAATTATTATCATGATGGATGTTTTGATGATGATAAATATAGGAGACCTTGGATAAGAGGTATGTTATATACTGTATAGCTTTTATGTTTAATTTAAATTTTCAATTTAAAAGAATCCAGTATGGAGTAAGAGAAAGGCAGAGTTTCCCAAATGTCTGTGGATAATCTTTTTTCATAAGAAATATCTTAGCCACTAAGTGTTTTCTTTGGAAGGGATACTAGATCTCAAATAATGGAGTCCTAGGTACTTCTAGTGAGAGTTGGACCATAAAGAAGGCTGACCATCGAAGAACTGATGCTTTTGAATTGTGGTGCTGGAGGAGACCCTTGAGAGTCCCCTGGACTGCAAAGAGAACAAACCTATCCATTCTGAAGGAAATGAACCCTGAGTGCTCACTGGAAGGACAGATCCTGAAGTGGAAGGACAGATCCTGAAGCTGAAGCTCCAGTACTTTGGCCATCTCATGAGAAGAGAAGACTCCCTGGAAAAGACCCTGATGTTGGGAAAGTGTGAAGGCAAGAGGAGAAGCGGATGATAGGGGACAAGATGGTTGGACAGTGTCATCAAAGCTACCAAGATAAATTTGAACCAACTCCGGGAGGCAGTGGAAGACAGGAGGGCCTGGCATGCTGTGGTCCATGGGGTCACGAAGAGTCGGACACAAATTAACGACTGCTGCTATCTGTATCTGAGAGCAAAGCTGAAGCCAATAATCGTTGGAGCATTTCCTGACAGACCATTGGACTTTGCTGTGAGCAAGTCGAATATCCTGCAAGTTGTGCTCACTAGGACCAGCTTTGTATGCTGCTAGAGCTCTCCTCTTATCCTCGATGGCTGGCACCAACTCCTCTGAATGGGCTTTGAACCAGTCAGCCATCTTGTCTTCTTGCCAAATGTGGACAAGGCAGTATTATAAATGGTGTTCTTGAAATGTCCCCATTGTTCAGGTGCATTTGCATCAGCCAGGCCTGGAAGGGTTACCTCAAGTGCTTGGGCAAATTCCTCCATTTTTCTTTGATCGCGGGTCTTGCTGGTGTCAATACGTGGTCTTCCTTCCTTTTTCGTGTGATACAATCTCTTTTTTTGCAGTTTTATTCTACTACACACCAGGGAGTGATCAGTATCACAATTAGCACTCTGGTAACTGCGTGTGATCGTAATACTAGGAAGGCTATAACATCTAGTGAGGATCAGATCGAGCTGATGCCAATGCTTCAATCTTGGATGTCTACAGGAAACTCTGTGTTGAAGCTTCGTATTATAGAACGTATTGCTGACACAGAGACCATAATAACAACAAAACTCCAGCAAGCGTTGGCCATTTTCATTCATCTTCCCAATGTCAAAATGGCCTAGACAGGTGGGCCAAGAACTGTGATCAGCACCAACTCTAGCGTTAAACTCTCCGAGAATGAACAATGATTCTTTCTCGGGCATTTTTTAATGTTGGTGCATATGCACTAATGAGGGTGACTGGTCCTGCTTATGAGTGGAGCACAGGATTATTTCACTCCCCAGAGTAGGTGGAACAATGGATCTCAGCAGAGTATTTCTGACCGCAAAGCCAACACCATTTTCCCTGGTCTCATTCAATGGTTTTCCCTGCCAGAAGAATGAGAATTTTTTTTCTTTGACAGATTCTTTTCCATCAGTGGATATAGCCACAAAGCAGTGGAGGTTTGAAATCAGAGTTTTCCTTCTCCTAGATCGGCTGCCTTCCAAGGCTGACGAGCCCCACCTACCCGGCCTGTTCCCTAAGAGTGCGGAGATTAGAACACAGGCCTCCAGCTGCCAGACCTTGACTTCTAAGAGGACCACCAACTAACACTTAGAGCATTTCTACCCAGGCACCTCATTGGCCAGAAAACAAACATGCCACAAGTATTACAGGTGCAAAAGATCCTGCACTCTTCATTTTGACTGATTGGTCAGTGGATCAAAAAAGGGAGGAAGTCTGATCCTACCCCTAAAACTTTCCTGCCCCCCAGGTGTATGGAATGCTATGAGTAATCTCGTGCTTTTCTGCACAGTAGCTAATGCAGCTGGGGCTGGCTTGGTGGGGGCTAATGACACTGCTTTCAGGCAAATAACCCATGATGGTGATGCAGAGTTTCTCAAGGTCTTGAATGGGATATTATAATCAATTATTACTGGACAAGACCCTTGGTGGAGAAGAAAATTTTTAGAACTGGCTTATTGGTAAGAATCAACACAGTTGCCTGTAATTTTTATTATTATTATTATTATTGTTTGGAAGCACGGTGGGCATGATGAGTGACTACAAAATTTATGACTACACCACTGACAACAGCAGTGTTTTGGGATAGGGCTGGTGATTCTGCCCCCCTGGCAAAATCATTTCCACAATGCTGTCATCAGAGAGACCATTTTCTGCTTTTGTTTGTTAGCATTTTTCTTCCTTCAGAAAAACAAAATAAGAAAATAGTTGTCATATTGTCACTTCTAACTATTACTGTTTTCATGCTGTAGTTTCAGTGGATTCCAGTCAAATTGTGATGAACTTTCCGGTACTTGATATTTGGAAGGAATGTCTTTATGTTGAAGATTTCTTAGAGAAGTGAGTCCTCTTAATTTATTGCTAAGTAGTTATTAACAAATTTATGTTAGAGTTTTGTTTTGTTTTGTTTACAACATTGCATGCTGCCTGTAGAAGCTGTGGCTGGAAGGGACTTTTCTGGGTTGGGGTGACTGCCAGTCTATCCAGTGCTAATCAATAGTTCCCTCTCCTGCCTCTGATTTCAAAGACAGCCCCATCTCTCTGCTGAGAGGTTTTCTCCTTCCTAGGGTCTGCTGAAGGTTGTGTTGTTGAAAGCAGTTATGTTTGTCAATTTGCTGTTTGATCTGTTCAATTTTAAGTAATGAAACCCTTTTTCTTTGTACTACTAATATCTCAGAGTGAGTTATTGAGACTGTAAGTGCCAGTTTATGAGAGAAGGGGTGGACTAATCTGGGTAACCTGAAGCTATTCTGCTCTTTGAATTCTTGTACTTTGCTGTGCAACTGGAGGAATTTAATCAAAATTCCAAAACTCTGCAACAATTTAAAGTTGCAAACCAAATTTGCTTAGTAAGAAAAAATAAACACAACAGAACTTCTGTCCAGTGTGTTTAAGTTAAGATGCATGACATAAGTTTGAAACATGAATTCAAAATTATACTGTTCTAAGTTAATAAATATACAGTAGTTTGTTGTGGACCGATTTTTGTGGAGTGTATGTTCCAAACAGCAATAGCCCAGCCTCCATTTTGTCCTCTAAAGTCCCAATAACAATAGCTAATATGGCTTTTGTTTCTTTCGGACTGCATCTCCCAGAATTCACCAGGAATTCTCCCAGCAGAATCCTGGGAGATGCAGTCCAAAAAGGAGGAGATTTTCTCATCTCTACTTGGGCCTCTGCCGCCTTCTTCCAAGAAAGAAATTGCTCCCAATGGTGCTTGGGCGTCACAATGGTTCATTGGAGTCTCAAAGGTTCATGGGATAGGTAGTATTTCTACCTATCAAGTTCTATAAAGGGAGCCTTTCAAAGAACTACCCACTCCACGAACCCTTAAGTCTCCTATGAACACTTGCCACTGCCAGGCACCACCAGAAGCAGTTTAGTTTGTGAAAGGTCGATATAATGGGAACAGGGCCCACATGGAAGTGAGAAAAAGCTCCTCTTTAAACTACTGTTTTGGGGATGCCCTTCCCAGGATTCTGCTTACAGGAATTCCCAGCTAATTCTAGGAGTTGCAGTATAAAAGAATATGGATTGCAAACATGGCACCTATGAACCATAATGGAATGCCCTTGGGTTCATGTGCATCTGATAAACAAGAGTGTGTAGATGTAATTTTGTTCCACCCATCACATGTACCTTCTGATTGGGAAGACTGTTCATACTGGTCTTCCCTTCGAAATGGGAATTTTACTGCCCTCCAGATGTTGTAAGATTGCAGTTCCCATCATACTTCACCATTGGCTGTACTGTCTAGGCCTGCTGAGAGCTGCAGTCCAACAACCCCTAATACAGTACCACACATTTCCTACCCCTTCTTTATTGGTTGAAGATGATATAAACGAACAGCAGCTCAAATTAATCTCCTCCTATAAAAGGAGAGGCAAGGGGACAAATGAAGGGGAAATAAATTAGACTGACTCCACCCCCTTATTCATTATACATCACAGGCAGTTCCCCCCTCCCAAAAACAGGATTCTGGTCACTGAGTCTAATCTAATTGGGATTTACAATTGGATTTAGTCTGTTATATTTGAAAGATTAAGAATGACATCATAGCTTTTTAGCAACTGAAAGGGCTACATTTAAATAAAACAGAAATGGGGAAAAAACACAGGATGCCTCTGTTAACTGGAATAGAATTAAGGTATTTTAATAATTTAAAAAATATTACTGCATAGCGGGGTAAATCCAGTCGGTATGTTGATAATATTCTAGACAGATGGATTAGGCATTAACTAAATTTTCTATTTCTTATGAATGAAAAAATCTAGTTTTCCATTTCGGTTTATATGAGAGACGTGCTATTTTTGTACCTCCACATAGAGTCAATTAATGTTTTTCATAGGATGACCTTGTTCTTCTTGTCTCTTGCATTTAATTAAGATTGTATTGACTTTCTGCTGACACAATTGTTATTAAGCCAAGAGTTTACTTAGGGAGTCAAGTAAATTGAGTTTCAGACATTTGGTAATAGAAATAGGCAAAGTCATTAAAGAGGGCAATTTTAAAAACAAGAGGTGTGGTCTGTAGCACAAAACTTCAATTTAGAAATTGCAAGGGCATAAAGTCTATAGTTGCCGTGGTCCTGTTCTGAAGTGGAAGGTTATGAAAACCACTAATGAGCTTAAAATGTTAAAAAAAAAGGCTATGATTGGTTAGGAGGGGACAGAAATGCTGCTCTGATGGCCCCAAAGGCTCCTAATATGACTGTGAGAAGTATTTGAAGATACTCTGGAAAGACTGGAGGGAGATATGATAGCACTTTTCAAATACTTGATAAGGTAGTATTTCAAGTACAGTATTTGAAACAGGAGGGATGAGATCTGTTCTCAATCATCCCAGAGTGCAGGACACATAATAGTTGGTTCAAGCTACAGAAAGCCAGACTTAGGCTGGATATCATGAAAAACTTCTTAACTATCAGAGCAGTATGACAATGGAACAAATTGCCTCAGGAGGTGGTAAATGTTCCAACACTGGAGACATGCAAGAGACATTTTGACAACCAGCTGTCAGATCTGCTTTGATTTACGTAGATTCCTACATTGAACAGGGGATTGGACTTGAGGGCTTTATTAGGCCCCTTCCAGATTCACTATTCTATGATTCCATGGTTCAGATCATTCTAAAGGGGGACACTGAGGAAGGACTCAGTCTCTTTACGTCTTCTTCCCACTCTGTTGGAAAACCCATGGCTCTCCCTAGTCATCGCCATCAGCAAGCCTTCCCCTTTACCAAGAAGTGATACAAAGGCTCTCTTTCTCCCATGCTCTCCCTCTCTGAGATGGGCCAGATTACTTTAAAGCAAAATCCTGGCCTAGTAATGTCTTGTTCTCCCTGTGTCTGCAAAACGCATTGAAGCATTAAAGAAAGTGTGGATGGCAGTCAGTTGGAAGGCATCAGTTTGCTTTGAAGTTCTCAGTGCCTGCTGGCCAAATATAGTCACTGTTTGTTCGTTCCTTTACCATCACGGATAAAATAAGTTATAGCACATTAAAGAGTACCAGTAACTGCTATATATGTGAGCTTTCGTGGAACAAATCCACTTCTTCAGACATAAGAGATAATACATAGAGACATGGCAAAACATTCATAGAGGGCTCTAAGATAGAGGGACATGCTGGTTGGTAGACTCACATTGCATTTCCCACCTAATAATGATTTAAGACCCCTGTTTCCTATTCCGTTCTTTTCTTTTGAAGGTTTGACCTGTGGGCAGCAACAATGATTAGTGGTGGCTAAAGGACCCAACAACAGAATCATTGGCTTTACCTTGGAATCTTTTTATGTAAAAGTGGCTGTGGTTAGTTGGGAAGGAAAATGGCAACAGATAACAACATAACAGGCACTTTTATAGAACAAGCTTCAAAGACCGTCAGTGGTTCTTAACTCATTGGTTCCACAAAAGCTCACATTAAAATGTAGTAGTTAATCTTTTAAGTTCTAGAGTGTCTTTTCCTTCCTTCCTTCCCCCCCCCACTCTTTCTTTCTTTCCTTTTGTTTTATGTTTCTTGTTGAGATGCTGGCTCAGACAAACACAACTACCCTTTTAGGGCACTTCACAGTTGCAGGGGGGACGTGTGATCGGGCCCAGTGGCTCTCAGGGCCACTTCCCCTGGCCTTGTTGCTTTCCCCTTGTCTAAAGAAACCAGAACTCAGATGGACAGCAGGAGTGTGCCAATCAAGTGCACAAAGAGAGCAGAAAAACAAAAAGGCAGGAGAGGTAAAGGAAAAAAGAAATTACTTGTCCAGGTCCCTGATATTTTGTAATAAATCTCTGATGGAGAGGAGAATTAAGGGGTTCCCATTCGTACTTCCAGAACAGTGTGCCCCTGTGCCCTCTATGATATGTCTATCAAATAAGTGTGAGCATGTTAGCAATTTTGCAACTGTATAGTACAGCAGGGGGAAGCTGTCAGGTGTCTTCTGTACCATCTTCTCTTTGGAAGCTCATCCTCTGCACAAAAAGAAGCCTATGCACTATGAGGCTCCAACTCCAGGCGGTCCACTTGTTTCCTATTGTATCCTTTTTTTTCCTAGCCCATCACTAAGCATCAAATGATTTGGACCAATTTCATGATAGAATTTGACTACTCTGTCTGTTCTTTTCAGCTTCTATCAAGGACTAAAGGAGGCAGCATTCTTTTCCAGCCAAGCAATCTGCTTGCTGCTTGCCAAAGAAACCCTTGTGACTGGTCTCATATTAATGGGAATATTCTGTACAGACAGGGCTATTTTTCTGTATCACAGTAGACAGAGATTGGGGTCTGTAAGGATAGTGGATAGATCAGATAGTCTAAGCTCTCAGAGGCACTTCTCCTGGTCCTGTTGCCTTCCTCTCGTCTGAAGAAATTGGAACTCAGGCAGACAGCAGGAGTGGCTGAAATTCAGTTGCTTAGTAAAGTAAGTTGCAGGTGGAGTAGATCCAGTGGAACCTGTGAAGTTTCCCACTTATTCAATGGGTCTACTCTAGTGTTAAGCAACAGGATTTCAGCTAACATGATCCTCTCTCTATGGGAAATAGCTGAACCTATTGAATCTGGCCAGTGCACAAAAGCACAGAGAGCACAAAAGACTGAGTTCACAAAGAGAGCAGAAAAGCAAAAAAAGACAGGAAAGGTAAAGATAAGGTGGCCTTAAAGTGACATTGCTGCTCTGCAACAGGGAAAAGTTCAGGTTCAAGAGTACAAGCAGATGCTGTGCCACAATTTTTGTGCATTTACCGAAGTCACTTTCCCTTTTTCAGGAAACCCATTTCAAACATCTGTCTACGTATTCATAACAAAGAGGCTGAAGTTATTCCGAGTTCAAATCCTTGTTCCCAGTTCGATATAGAAGAGACCTGTATGCTTACGAAGCACAATGACAAAGAACTTATTCTCACCAGTCCTTTGCAGTCTAATTATGCTCCTGCAATACTTAAAGAACAAAAAGAAGGTAAAGCAGCTATCTGTACCTGTTGCCTTCAGGAACACACAAATTTCTGGCACACAACTACAAGAATAGGACGTCCCAGCCATCTGGCGTGCCAGTGTGCCACAGAGTGACTTGAGAGGGCCAGAAAGAAGCAAATAGCTAAACCAAGGCTGCACTAATTCTCCTCCTTGGGCTCTTTCAATAGGGCATTGGTTCCAGGTTCTTCTTCCCCCTCTCTTATTTCAGTATAAGTATAGTATAATAATGGTATATAGTCTGCCATTCTCTTTATTAATACGCATTCATCCTGTTGTTTCCTTTAATCATGTTAGTGCCTACGGTTGGTCTTTTAAAATCTCTCTCTCTCTCTGATGTTGCTTGGTTTTGTGTCTCTTACTGGAATGTTTACAGTACTGAAAACCAATCAGAAGTCATAAATTATGGCTCATGTGAAATGCAACCAGACACCACTGACACATACTGACATGTATGTTTTACAGTGTTAATCCCTGTTTTCCACCCCATGTGTCTGACACAGTGGGCTAAGAAGGTCCAGAAAAGCTTATATTAAGATATAATAGTTAGCATTTAAGGTGCCATAACACTTTTGTTCTTTTTTTAATTTTTCTTTTGTTTTTGCTGTAATTAGTCAACAGATTCAAAATTGCTCATTGCGTTGAATTGATTTTCCAATTTTCAGAAAGCTTGTCTATTGAAGATGAACTTATTTTCAGTGATGATTTGACTCAACATGCAAAGCGGTTACCTACCGTCCATAAACTCTTGAGCCGACTGAATGTTTTCTATGTACAGGATCCTCTTTTAAATTCTGAAGGTGACAAAATTACAGAAGAGGACATCTTCAGGTACTGTGGAACAAAATGGTGTATGACATATTACGTACGTTATTATTAAGTGTCTTAATACTGTATGTATCTGGTTTTGAATTTCGCTACTGAGTGCTAGATGGCTTTGCTGAACCTGAACACCTGCAAGTCATATCTACAGTATTTGAGTCCATATAAATTGGTAACATTTGCACAGAATGAAAATCTGGGATTCTGAGAATCCTGATTTAATGTGAATGTGTTGCAACACGATGTATGAAGCACGTTTGCTTCTACGTGATTATTCCTGCTAGAGTAAACACCTAAACAACCCAAAAAATATCTATTTAGTAAGAATCTGTTTAGCAGAACTAAGGATCCTGGTTTGTTGTTCCTGAATATATTAGCATTTAAAAACAAAGAACAAACCTTGATTTATTATCCTTCCTTATTTTTGGAGTAGCAGGCCAAGTTGGGCTAGCAGCTAGTCCAAAAGCTTTTGGTTGCATTGTTGTTCATGCTAGCTAGACTGAGTAGGAGAAGTTACCTTGATATTTACTTACTCAGAGTAAGCCCCTATTCTCCAGCATCCAGACCTTCTGTTCCATATGCAAATGACTATTAATGTGCTTTTTGGGGGTGGGGGGGAGTGGGACTAAAAAGGTGCACATCCTTGGTAGGCTTTTGCCAGTAACCTAGGCTGCAATCATGTACTTGTATAGATCACTTTCTGTCTAGGAGCCCCAAACATGCCACAGAAGCCCCTCCTGGTGAAATGAGACATGTTTGTTTTTTTTCAACAGTGAATTGTTCAATTTTTTGCTAAAGCAAGGTGCAGGGTAGAGCTTTACCCTGTTTTAGAAGATAACTGTATCTTTAAGATTTCTGGAGATACAATTACCTATATGTATTTCTAGTTATATAAGCTGTTTGTGAGTAGCAAAAAATAAACCTTGCTTTTTAATCTTACTAAAGACTAAGAACCTTTCCTTTTTCATTCCCCCACCCTTCCAACTGCACAATATTGGCTATAGTTAGCCAGGTGCGGTAGCTACTATATATGTGTGGTTCCAGGTAATTCTACCTGTTTTGCCCAAAACCCATATATTTAAAACATCTGACTTCCAGTGTGCTGACACAAGGTATAATTTTTTTGTACCCATAATATATAGTTTGAAAGTTTATGAGTCAATTTTTTTCCAGTACGCATCTATATCTATAGCTATACCACCATCTTTATTTATCTTGAAACAGCAAGATATTTAATAGAAAAGGTGTTGCCTTAACTGAATATACAGTTTTCTTTTTTACAAGGAAAGTTTCTGGGCACTTTACCATTTCATTAAAATTTCTTACATTTTTCAGTGCTACTTTCCTCTTTGGTATTTGAAGCTACCTCCCCCAACCTTTAATGTATTCAAACAATTTTTTTCCAGATTGTTGAAATGAAAGCATTATTATACAAATATTGTTGATTTTGCTTCATAAGCAATGCTTAATGTTTTTAGGTTGACACACTTTGGAATTTGAAAATAAATACATTTTGAAGATCTCTGATTTTGCTGGTTTCAGGTTAAGTCCTCAGTTTTTGTTCATGAATCACACACACACACACACACACACACACACACACACACACACACACACACACACACACACACACACACACACACACACAAAGAAAAAGAATCCTCAGGGAATGATAGTTTTCCACCAATTCACTCTCTTAATCATGTTAGCATTCAGTTCAGCTCTGTTATCCATACTCTATCAACCTTCATAAAACTGTCAAGAACTTGTCCAGATTCAAAAAAATGTTGCAGTAACATGCTTGACTGGTTTTGGAGGGAGAAGATAAGTTTATGCTGTTGTAACACCATATAATGGCAAACTAAAAGGCACTAACTTATGCTTTGATTCTAAAAGGGAGTGCTTTGCATTCAAAGAGAGCAAAACGCCCCAGACAAAAAGAGAAGAACAATGTGAAGTGTTTTACAAAGAGACTTTAAGGGATGAGGAGGTATGTGGAGCTGTTTGTAAATTATTTGTGACTTAAGAAATCATGACACAGTTGTTTTCTAAATGGAAATCAAAATGCAGATTCAAAGCTTTTACAAAGTTTCCAGAGATGTATATATGCTTTTGCCCATCTATAATTCGGTAAAGCACAGATAGAGATGTCCCTTAATTATCTTATAAAAGCTAATGGGTCATATAGACTAAAAATTAAGAACTTGTTATTTAATAAGCTGCTCATGAACATCCTTAGCTTCATGATTCTTCTGTCAGGAATGTGCTGTTTAGTGCTTTCAGACTTCAATTCCCAAAAATTCCAAAGTATTCAAGGAATTGCAGCCTGGATACCTAAATCAGCACTCCTGTAGGGTTTGCATCTCACAGAGGTCTTTCAAGTGATTTATTTTCACCATGAACTATTCCAGCTTCCCTGTTTTCTGTTGCTTCCAGTTACACCATTTGTTGTTTAGTCGTTAAGACATGTCCAACTCTTCGTGACCCCATGGACCAGAGCACGCCAGGCCTTTTTGTCTTCCACTGCCTCCCAGAGTTGGGTCAAATTCATGTTGGTAGCTTCGATGACACTGTCCAACCCTCTCATCCTCTGTCATCCCCTTCTCCTCTTGCCTTCACACTTTCCCAGCATCAGGGTCTTTTCTGGGGAGTCTTCTCTTCTCATGAGATGGCCAAAGTATTAGAGCCTCAGCTTCAGGATCTGTCCTTCCAGTGAGAACTCAGGGTTGAATTGCACCATAGTGCAAGTAAATCACTTGAAAGCCCTCCCCTATATGGACAAATGAGTGTGCTGATTTGGGTTTCTGGGCATCTGTTCTTGAAATTCTTAGAGAACTCCACAAATTAAAGTCCAAAAACATGAAAGAGAGATTGTGCTAACGGTTCTGTTACAGGCTATGCTATTTTTTCCTGGTCAGTTGGAAGCAACCGTGAAGCTGGGGTGATTAGAAAATTGTTTTGTAATAGATGGCAATTATTGTAAAGAACATTAATTAGACTCCAGCATCGAACTATGGAAAGTGTGAGGAACCTTCTATTCTGTTGGAAATCTGCCCTTTGAATTTGGAGATAATCTCCAGAACAGTGCGTAAGGTTGTTCTGGGAGCTACAGGGGAAAAGACGAGACTGCCAAAGACCCCAGCCCCTTTCTCTAAAAGGGCTCTTTGCTTGACCCCATCTTCTTCTACCAACAGAAGGAGCTCTTCTCTTTGCAGAAGTGCAACTCTGGACCCAGCATATTGTGGTCATTATATAACAGTACATTCTGCAAAATCTTCGTTAGAAAGTTTTCCAGCATTCAAATATAAAATTTCTTCAAGCTGTTTTGAGAAAGGTTCCAGTTATTTTTCTTTCTAGGTCACTGTACTGCCTCTCCTATTACGAGTCTGCTCGACAGCAGACTTCCGGTTGGACACTGACATTCCCACAAGTTTGGCACTGAAAACTTTATTAGAAGTAACTCCAGAGATGCTAGGAGATGAAAACAAATGTTTCAAAATAACCAGAAAAGGTAAGGATACAATTAAAGGTATTTCAGTCCCAGTTTTCATGTTTTACGTCACCTAGTTTCATTGTTTTATTGCTGTTATACTTAACTGGTGTGAAATTAATAATCAAAACCAATGTGTTCTACAGAAACAGGCCCTTGCTTATATTTAATATTAGCCCTTTTTCCAGACTTTAAACTGGAGTTTATTCCTGAGATCATCGAGGCATCATCGAGCTCCTCACAAGAAGTTTATGCCAATCAGAATAGAAGTACACTGGAATTCAGCAATCCAGGTAAGACTCCGTGCACAGGAATTAAAGCTGGCCCAAGACCTGTTCCTGTCCGTGCCCAAAAGAGCATCTGTTGCCCCCTACTTCACCCAGGTCATGGTGCAGAGTACTCAAACCCAGAGCGGTCTGGCATATCAAACAGATAATCCTGCAAGTTCCACTTGCCATTCCACACAATAAAAATATAATAAACAGAAAAATAAATAATTTTATGTGCTTTCATTACATGCTAAATTATGCTTCCTGGCTTGCTTCAGAAGAGATGGTAAGGCTTGCCCTGAATTTCTTGGAGATTGCCAAATTGTGCTGAGCATGCTAAGAGGTGCTGCAAAATGACTATTCAGTTTACATATCTGCTTACCAGGGATGGGAACTCGTCAAGAGGGTCACAGTCAAATGGGACTTAGGTCACAGTGATGACACAACTCTTGTTGTTGTTTTTTCAGTGACTCAGACTCAGCCTGTGACTCAGGACCCATTCACCCTTCCCTCTCTTTTTTTGGAGAAAAAGGCTTCTTTTTAACAGAGACTTGGGGCTTTGGCCCAAAGACTTGACAACATCCCTGCCACTTACTGCTAATCCTGCATAGGTTTTCATCTTTGCCCTTATTCCATGAGCATTTGTGTGCCTTTAATGAAAAATGTCCAGTGATTAAACATTTGCTTAGCATTTTATTTCAGAGAGGAAAATGTAGTTTATTGACTTGGAAATTAGTTGAGGAAGTGCCTTTGTTTTTATCACAATAGGCTTCCTATGATGTAATTTTCAAACATCATTTCAGAATCACTTGTTTTTATCACAATAGGCTTCCTATGATGTAAGAGCAATTTTCAAACATCATTTCAGAATCATGTATTAGTCATATTGAAAAGTTTCATGTATACTTTTTTTGTCTCTTTTTTCACAATTGCCAGAAAGGTATATGCCATTCCATCCTAGATACCTGGAGGTGCCATTGACTCCTCCAGGCAGACCAGAAAAGCTGCATGGGGATTCATTGTTGAGACAGCTGCAGCCAGAATCACCATCTCTTTTTAGTAAAAGGTAGGGGAAGGCCTATAAAGGCATAAAATGGTGTGACTACACTGCAATTTGCCCCACTGTTTGTGCGGGAGTTTACACTGTTAAATTCAATGTATTTTCTGTTTACTACATTACATACAGCTAACTGCAAGTATGCCCATTCTTTCTTCATGGACATCTATTACTTTTTCAACTGGCAGAGGCTAGTGTGTTTTTTTTAATTGCCTTCTGCACACATTGGGACTTTTTTGATTTTTGTTGTTTTTGTTGAGTTTATGGCATGTTTGATTGCCTATAACAGTAAAAAAAAAAGCAGAGATGGGTGTGTCCCAAGTTGATACTGATGGTGGGGGGCCTTTAAAAAATTTGACAAGTGACATAGTGCTGAATTGATATAATTGCAGTGCTTATCTGATATAGCACTAATGTGGGAAATAATGATTTTTTCAAAAATTGTTTAGAGGAGAGCCAAGAGATGCACACTTCAAGAGGATGTTTGTGCTGTAGAGGGCTGCTCCAAAGAACTAGGCTGGCCAGGAAGCACTGAGGCAGTTTCCTTTTTGTATAGGAAGTAGTACTGCAACAGCCTGGAAGAGAGACCTGCTTCAGATGAGTGAAACGTAGGTGTTTGTTTGTGGGTAGGAACTCTTAGAGTTCTGCCTGAGGAATTCTTTAAGAATTCTAGGAATTAGAGTCAAAGAAAGAATAACACGCTCCTAGTAGCAATTTGAGGTGCAGTGTGAACACTTGTCACAAAAATTGCAGAGAATAATTAAACATCCTGTGTGAACAACAACAGTGATAACACTGCCATAAGAAACTTTGAATCAGCCTGAATTGACCCAAGACAGTGGGTCCCTACCTGTTTGGTCACAAGCCAAACTGAACTAAATGTTCACTAGTATAAATTACCAATTCCAGCAGAATGCATCTGAGCAATATGGACTATGTAAATTCAAGGTTGTCTTATTATTCAAGTTGAAGTTATACAGGACAGCTGCTTGTTATAAAAATACACTGGAGATGCAGTATAAATTACCAATTCCAGCAGAATGCACTGCTGCATCTGAGCAATATGGGCTATGTAAATTCAAGGTTGTCTTATTATTCAAGTTGAAGTTATACAGGACAGCTGCTTGTTATAAAAATACACTGGAGATGCCAATGAGTCCACATTCTTGTCAGAGATAAGCTGCAAGAAAGAGGATAGTTATCATCATCATTATCTTCTTAGAACTGTAGAGCTAGAAGAGACTCTGTGGGTAATCAAGTTCAGTTCCTGTCAAGGAGGCACAGTGGGGGGATCAACCTCCCACCTCTGGCTCTGTAGCCACATACCTAAACCACTGAGCTGTCCAGCAGTTCCTATTAAACCAGCTCCTGGCAGAACTCCGCCTGGCTCCCTCCCTGTTATCATTTAGGAGGCAACTGAAAACATTTCTTTTCAGGGAGACCTTTCATTCCAACCCTGGTTGAGGGATTGCTTCCCTCCTGTCCTGCTAGCACCAGGAAATTGTTTATGGCACCGTTGGTTTTATGCTGTTATGTGCTGCAATTTTACTGTTTATTATTTCTTTAACATATATTTAACTCTGCTGTTAGGCTGCCCAGAATAATTCTCCTGCACTAGTGGGGTGGTATAAAAATTGAAGAAAGTAAGTGTGAGATACGTTATTTTTGGTCATGGTCCTTCAATATCTGCCTAAAAAACATAACATTTTGTCTCCTTCATGCTCCTCCTGGCAGGCCCAAAGTCATTTCTGTTTCGGTCCATCTTTGATGTGTAGTTGGTCTAACTTGTTCTTAGTCGGAATATTTAAAGAGTATTTGCTAAACTGATGTATGGTTTATTTTATGCCATTCTTATTTAGCTCTAAAATTTATTATTTTAAATAGTTTTCAGTGCTAAAATTGGGAAGATTTGTGATTAAATAAAATGATTTAAAATATCTGAACTGTTTTTCATTGAGAGTTTTTATCATGTGAATTTGCATGATAGTTATGGTCATTAGGGATCCCAAATTTGATGGACATTTGGGTTGAAATATATTAAATCAGGGATGGGGGACATGTTGCTGGACTCCAGTTTCCATCAGCCTGAGCCAGCATTGTTGGGGTGATGAGCACTGTAATCCAGCAACAACTGAAATGCTGCAGGTTTCCCCTCCTTATGTTTATCAAACATTTAAAGTAATGTGTTGATGAACACAATGTCAGTATAGCTAATCACAATAACAAAACATTTGGCACACAACTAAGGATGTTAGACATAGTTTACCAAGTATAATGTAGTACAGGCTTGCACAAATTTCCACCTACCTGCTGGGTGTTTTTTGAGGGGGCTCTGCTAGCTGTTGCATGATTGCTCCTGCTATGCACATAGACGGCAAAGCAAGAGGTTTGTTAAGCATCTGGCAGTTCACTGCTGATCTACATGAGGCTTGGTGAATCAAGCCACTTTTTTTTCTTGCCCACAGAGAGTTTTACAACTGAAACATTTAAGGGAGTCTTCAAGATCTCTACTAAGATTTCACAAAGTTAATCCCTTTAATGTTTGCTATCCAGGAATTCCTTGGCTTGTTTGAGATAACTGTGCTGAGTTCAAGAAAATAAATTAAAATATCTATGGACAGATGAAGCAGCCGTTCCAAACCAGTTGCCTAGCAGATGTGTTTGATGAACTACCCCACCCCTGCCCCCAGCATCTCCAGTGCTGGCTCAGACAGTGATGGTTGAAACCCAGAAGTTTGGAGGGGAATAGTTTGGGAAAGGCTGGCATAGAGCAATGCTTCTTGCTGCTGCATGCTTATATAACAGTCAAAATTCACAACACAAAAGAGGCAATAGTATTTGGCACACATTTCCCAGTACATGACTGCTTGTTTCACGGTATATGGCCTGCTAGGGTTTTTAAGTATCCCTCTAGCCCATGGAAGAAAAACATGCTTTCACTAACATGATCTACTCTTGTACTTAATGACCTAAATCTTAGCGCTGCTCACAAGTAGATCGACTGAATCAATTTTTTTAATGGTGAGTCAACACTTAATCTAAATCCCATTGTTTCAGTGGGTCTACTCCAGTTGGAACTAGCAATAGAATTTTGACCATTATTATCGTATAAATTATAATACTATAGTTAATAGTTTCTCCCAAATATTCACATGGTGAAATGGAAATTAGAGAAAAGGAATTGCCATCATCTAATATATTTATAATATAAGTAAAGGCTGAAAATAATCTAATGAACTCCTATCATTCTTTTCCTTAGCATTTTGATTACAGAACCCATTGCAGAATACTTTGAAGCTCTGATGTGGCAATCAGAGAAGTATCAACATCCAATGAATTCTCTTTTACTTGCAGGTAAGTTGGTGCAGGTTCTGTTTCCAGTTGTATATTAATCCCAATTTTGGAAGAACACAACAAATCCTAGAGAATACTCATGGCATGTGATGTTCCATTTCATGATAAAATCATTGTACCAAGCAGGAAGTTTAATTCTTAATTTTTTAAAATACATGTTGAAAATCCTGCCGTAGCTAGGACAGAATCCCAAGTCCGTTAAAGCAGTGGGCCCCAACCTTTTTGACACCAGGGACTGATTTAGTTCAAGACCATTCTCCCAAGGACTGGGGTGGTGGTGGTGGCAGGCATCCATCCATGTGGGAATGTGTGCAGGTGTGTGGGGCACATCTGTACATGCAGGAGGTGGGTGAGCATCTGTGCATGCATGTGGGGTGGGCATGTGTGTGCGTGTATGCAGGAAACAGGCGGGGGGTGCGTGCATGCATGAAGGAGGTGTGCGGATGTGTGTCTGTGCAAGTGGAGGTGGGTGGGCGGGCATCCGTGCATGTGTGTGTGTAGGAGTGCATGTGTGCATGCGTGTGGGAGGCAGTGTGCACGTGGATATGCATGAATGCCCGCATTCCTTTAGCCTTCGAAGAACTGTCTTGGCGGCCCGGTCTTTCCAAGGCCACAGACTGGGACCGGTCTGTGGCCTGGTGGTTGGGGACCCCTGCACTGATCACCACAAAAGCAACTAAGGTGGTAATGTTACTGAAGGTGTGATTAGATGTCCCAGTTATCACAGCCTAGATTGGTCTTGATCCTGCTAAACAGTGTCACCTGGAGGTGCAGTAAGTCATTTGGGGTGATCTTTGCATTCATGTGCAAGGATCGACTGCACTGCATTTCAAGGAACTTTGTTTTGTACAATCAAGATTTTCTTTCCCTTTAAATGGAAATATTTCTTAAAATTATTAAGTTGTTGTCTAGCTGTCCCTTTGGTGATGCTGCTCAATAATCTTGAGAAATGGAAAACTTCCTTTTCGCTTGCCTTTGGAGGGCAAGGGAGAGAACGATTTGTATTTGTTTTTAATTGTTGCTGACATATCAGTGGCGCTTTGGAAGGGTTTTTTAAGCCCTATCAAAGTATCACTGATGTGCTGTATCAATTAGCAATAATTAAAAAGAAATGGAAAGTTTAATCTCCCCTCCCCTCAAAAAAATGAGTGGAATGGAACCTTCCCATTTCTCAAGATCATTAAGAGGCTTCACTAAAACAACAGCCAGGCAGCCACTTTGGTTCAATCCCACTGATCACACACATTGGAACTAAACCAAAACTGAACCGTCCTATCCATACAAAAAAGCAAAACAAAACAAAACAGTAGACCCTGACATGGATCCAAAGAGGTATGGGTAGTCATTAATCAGGGGCAGGATGATTCATGATGGCATGTATGTCATGTGGTCACCAGAAAAAAAAATAACTCATCAGCCCATTCCCGACCCAGACCAAAATGTTGCCTTTCCCACCCAGTTTAAATGGGGCAGGCAGAAGGGCATGTGGGTCTTTGGCTATGCTCATAATTTTAATTTAAAAAAAACCATATCTCTAAAAATTTATCTCTTGATTTATGTCCTTTCAGTACATCTAGTTTGGATGTAGGCTATCGAGAAAGAGCAATGTACCAAACCCAGTCTAACCAGAACTTAACTAAAAGGCTATTCAGGTCCTTCCAGTATTTTGAAATTTCAATTCAGGCAGCTAGGAAAAGTAATGAAATCAGTCTCTTACATAAGGGACAGAACATGGTCTTGCTTTACATGTAATGTGAAGTCCACTGTCTTCTGTGGGGAGTATACCCTAATAAGTCGTTTTAGAGAAGCAGTTTCCATTGAAATAAGCCCCCTAAAACACAGTCGGATTTAACAGGTATACATCTGGAGGGTTGCACTGCTGATCTGCTGGGTATTCCACCAGGGAAGGATAAGTCAGGGCCTGCTAATTGTTAAGCCCACCTGGCCTCAACACAAAAAAAAGTTATTTGCACGTGCAGAAATATGCTGTGAATGTGCCAAAGGATACAGCGGTTGTCATCCTAGGTCAGTATTCCTGGTGGTGTGCCTGGCCTCTAACATAGGAACCAAAGGCACAGCCCTGAACAAATGGCTTTGTCTTCCCCAAGCTTGGGTAATCTCTGCCTCCCCAGATGTTGATGAACTACCTCTCCCATCTTCCCTCACCATTGGCCATAAGGGCAGAGAATAATCAGGGACTAGAGTCCAACAACATCTAGAAGGCTAACAGTTCCACATTCCATTAGGCCTTAAGCAACTATTTAGAGGAGTAGTGAAAAGAATAAGAGACTGGAAGCACCTCCCCTCTGGATTTCTCCTTTGTGGCGGGATGATGGGACTGTGCAGAACTGAGCCTTTTCATCATTAGTTCCAAAAAAGGTAAAGAGCACTTCCAAGCTGATTGACTGTGACCTAGGCACAAGATATTTGCCTGCAGAAGCTTACAAGAAAAAAAGAATATGCTTTTTTTAAAATAGAGCTTGCTAATAATTGCTACATCTTTGTCCCTTTTTTCATAGAGCACCAGACTCCTGTACCTCTTTGCCACCATATTTCAGTTACAGAACTGAAAACACTGCTGTCTGTACAAGAAGACCTCACGGTCCTCAGCGCCTTTGAAGAAGAAGACGGATTTAATTTAAGAGAGAACTTTACTTCACCATATACTTTAGAAACACTGAGCACAGTTTCGGATAACAAAGAAAGAACTGTCTGTACTAATGCAGAAGAAACATTCACAAAAACAAATCATTTCCAGGCAGACAGTAAGTACTTAATATACCATTTTTTTCCAGAGAATAATGGCAAAGAAAAGTTGTTTCACAGAGTACTTTCAGTTTGGTGATTGGCAACATCAGATTTTCAACTGACGCCCCAATCCTAAATGCACTTACTTAGGCAAAAGGCCATATTCAAACTTAGGGATAAGCCCGCAGGTCCACGCATATTTTCTAGCTGCTCCTCCCCTTTCTCATATGAATTTTCCCTGTGGTCTTTCACCTAGATACCGCTTTATACAAATATCAGCAGGTTAACATCAAATTAAATTGATGCCTGAGCTTAATTTGAGAAGGGCAGATGCAAACCCTGGGGAAACTGCCAGTAGCCATGGCTTCTCAGATGTTACACTTGGCATACATCTGCAAACTACTTATCCATGTTCAGAGGCTACCCTGTTCTAGAACACGAAGAAATGGGGGCTTTAGGTGGCATTAACTTTTTAATGTTTGTTTATTAATTGAGCTTATGAATCGCCTTGTATCTAGATCCTCCGGTCAGTATATATACATTAGTCCTGGCACTGATCTAGTGGGGGACATGCTTCTGTCTGTCTGATAAAATTGGTCCGGAAACTCTCCCATTATCCAATTATGGCTGCTCTGAAATAAATGTTGTTATACATTTAAAACATAAATAACATGTTTGTACAATACTTTGGAAAGGGATTCTACAGCCTGCCTACTTACCTTTCTTTATTGCTGAACTGATTCATTTTTAATTTGTATATTTTTCCTGATTACACTAAATAGTGGATATGAGGAAGTACTGATTTTCCTTGTTTCAGCTAAAAATAATAATATTTGCACATTGTAAAGCACGATGCATGGAGAATATTCAACCCTTGGGTGGGGAAGTGAAACTGTACTTCTGAATGAGTTGTATTTGTATAGAAGTGTATATAGAAAACAAATATTTTTTTTCCCTTTTCAGAATGGCTTGAAGAACAAAGTTCCTTTGCTACCAAAGCAGAGGAATCTTTCAGTATTCCTGATGATAGTGGGACAAAAAAGGATTGCTGGTCTCCTCCGAAAGAAGAGATGTTTCCTCCAGATTCCATGGGGTGTCCACCAGAACAGTACAGCAGCTCTGTTGCAGGTGACAGTGCCTCTACTGAAAATCACGTCAGGAAAACCCAGGTAGATGGTGAATTAGGAAAACCCATGCAAGAAGACAGGGGAAACGATATGTGCCGTCTAACTGGTTTCAGGGAAGCTTATGTTGAAACAAACAGCATATCCAGAAACAAAGTGCCAGCTCCATCTGAACTACCTAGAAAAAACGGAGATGATTTTGACCTTTTGAGCAGTTTTATCATGCTGAGATCTAAACAGATGGTCACCCAAAACGAGGAGTCAAAAGATGTGGAGATTCAAGAAGAAGGTAATTTCTGGCATATGGAAGCCTTGTGTGGCATGGCTCTAGACATCTGTGTTAACATGCAGACAAATGACATGCACATGGAAATCTCTGTTCTTTATTGTGGACTGAGAATTAGGAAGGAAAGAGATTTTCAGCTAAAACAAGAATCAGGAGGGAAAGAGAAGTATGTGTGCTACATTATACATACCATGCCTGCTTTGTTTTGTTTTAGCTTTTTCCCTGTAAGATGTCTCAATATTCATTATGCCTTCAGGTTCAGACTAAGAACACTCATATTTCTTAATTTTAGAAGTCCAGTTTTCTAAGCATAGTAGTGGCACAACTAAGGATCAGATGGCTGTTTTTTTTTTCTTTTCCTTCAGCTGACAGAACAGTGAAAACCATGTCTGGGAAATGACTATGTGAAGTGGTGAAACCAGAAAAAGGCCTAATTGGAAACATATATGACTTAGGGCACCAGAAATATAAGCTGGTTTGAAAGTAATTCCCTTGCCCTAGGGAAGCCTTTGAACTCTAGTTCTGTGCCAAGAAGAGAATTCATCAGAAGCAGAGAATTCTTAATCCCATACTTAGTCAGCAGTACTTGTTAGTTGTTAGTTATTAAAGGTAGTCATTAGATTTATCCCACTATGTGTAGATTGTCCCAATGTGACCTAGGCCATTTTGCTCTGTGAGCATGTGTTGGAAGGCTACAGGTGCTTTATAGCCTCTGAGGGCACATGCACAGAATGAAAGTATTTTTCATGAGATTGCATGACAGTCTAATATGGGATTCACATTATTTCCAGTGGATGAGTAAACTGTGGCTCTGGGCCACATATGGACCCCAAGGCTGTTTTTGTAGCCCATAGCCCTCTCCCAGCCACTTATTTTTCTTATCAAAAAAGATGAGCTGCAGTCTCTGGAAGTTTCATGGAGTGGCAAATAACTGAAAGTATTTTTCATGAGATTGCATGACAGTCTAATATGGGATTCACATTATTTCCAGTGGATGAGTAAACTGTGGCTCTGGGCCACATATGGACCCCAAGGCTGTTTTTGTAGCCCATAGCCCTCTCCCAGCCACTTATTTTTCTTATCAAAAAAGATGAGCTGCAGTCTCTGGAAGTTTCATGGAGTGGCAAATAACTTTTCAAAAAGGTCACACTCCCCATGCACCATTTAGAACCAGCACAGATTTTTCCCCTCTCCCAGCCACTTATTTTTCTTATCAAAAAAGATGAGCTGCAGTCTCTGGAAGTTTCATGGAGTGGCAAATAACTTTTCAAAAAGGTCACACTCCCCATGCACCATTTAGAACCAGCAAATAACAGATTTTTCAAAAAGGGGAGAGGGAATTCTAGAGGCAGCTGACTTCATTATTTGTGGGTTTTGGCATTTTGATTATCTGTGTGACCCTTGGAAAGATCCAGGGGTAGAAAATTGGCCCCAGAGGCTGCCAAAATTTTCTACGTCTACCCTGGAGTGTTCGTAGCATCCCAATATAAGGGTAGGAAACCCATGGGTCATTCGATGTTGATAAATTCCAGCTCTTGTTGGCCATAGCCATGGTGATATATAATGGAAGTGTCTTCCAAATGTTGTTGGGCTAGTACCTAATACTTTATGTGAACTGTATGAAGTGATTTCCTGTAGTGCAAGAATCCTGTTGGTGTTTATGCAAGATTTACATAATTTGCTATGGGTAATTGAAGATTATGGTTGTTGTGGGTTTTTCGGGCTTCTTGGCCGTGTTCTGAAAGTGGTTCTTCCTAACGTTTCGCCAGTCTCTGTGGCCGGCATCTTCAGAGGACAGCAAACTGTGCTGAAGATTATCTTTGAGTTTTTATGTTGCTACGTGCCATCCAGTCAGAACTGACTTACAACAACTACAATACGTCTTTCGAGAGATAAGTGGCTTTACCAGTTCCACACCCCGTAGGTAGTTCTCATGGCTAAGTGGAGATTCGAACCCTATTCTCTGGAGTTCTAATCCTGTCACTCAAGCTACTGTACCACACTAGGTATCCCCACTGTTGCATTACCAGAGTGCATTTCAGTCATGTGCCTGGTCATGCACCCAGATGCACAACTGGTGCACCTCACTAGCTCATCAGTTAGTCATGATTCGCCATGGCATGTTACACAAATGTTACGCAAACACCATCAGGGTTAAAGCCTATATGTTTATGATGAAAAGCCTACAGTAAAATTAAGTATATCTGTATTGGGGAGTGGGGAGGAATAGTCTTCCTTTTGTGCTTCCTTATTCAGTTCTATTAATATACAGAATGATTCATGATATTACAGTCTCACTTTTCTGTTTTTCGAACTGCTTACAAGGCAGAATATTAAGGAATGGAGAATTCCTTTTCTTTCTACTATAGCAGAACATCTGTCAGTAGGTCTTATATTTCCATCTAGTGAACTCAAGCTAGAATTGCATCTTTATTCTGACAAGATGCTTTAGGCCTGCTTTATATGGCAAAGCCATGTGCATTACAAGTTTATTCTATAGATAAAGAGAGAAATGGCTAGAGAAAAAAATACAGTGATAGTTTGGTGCTTATAGTGGTGTTCTGCCACAGCAATGTTTTTATACCATGCCGTCTTTTAGACTTTGTGAGTCTGTGCCATGCCATGTGGATTAGCCTGTGATTCATCACTGTGCCAGTTTTCATGTGGCCTTAATCATTTTGTCTTACCCTTGGGAAGGCTTCAATTTGAAAGTTTTCTCCAGAGATGTGACTATCATAGGCATTTGGGAAACAGAGAAACAAAAGGTGGCTGTGTAATATATGGCTACAGAAGCAGCTGTGTGATCCAGGAGTCAGAACAAAATTCTGGAGTAAGAGGTAAATATTTATTTAATACCAATGATGGTATTACTTCAGCCAGTATTTTGGAAAGTGTATTTTAACCAGACTTGCAGAGCATCATCCTACCACACCTTGGTTATAGATGGCTTCTTCAATTTATTATATTTATTCTTCAAAATTCCATAGCTCTACCACTTTCATAAGGTGAGTAAAAATTCCTTGCCTTTTGCTCCACTGTTGACTAAATTTGAAAGAGTAAACTATTAAAATGTGTCTGGGGTGTTGAATTGCCCTCTATATTGTCCTGTAGCATTTGTGTTTTTGTTCATCTTTTAAAGTTCTAAATGCTCAGGAGGAGACCCCACCATCTGAAAATCATGACAGTCCTGTTGTCCTGAATGCTACAGTCCCTCTGGAAAAGCAAACCAAGGAAAATGAAATAGGCTCCATTGTAGTTAAAGCAGCAGGTACTGAATGTTTTCAGGCATCTGGCAATCAAAAATTTCTTTGATGGATGGCTGTATAATGTGGGCTTTCAAACTGTGCTCCAGGGAGTCCTGATATTCATCTGTTTGGAGATGATCAGTAGTAAATCAAGTCTGCCTGAAACATAATTTGTCCATTATAATCATTCTCCCTTTGTACCATATGGCTACAGAGGAATGTGGGATATGTTCTAGGCCAGTGTTTCCCAACCAATGTTTGCCAATGTGTTTTCTGGGGGGTCACAGATGTGTGTAACCCTTATATATGTTGTAGCCATTATATGTTTTCTTCCTTGACCTTTCAGAGCGCAGTATTAAAGTTAGCATGCATGTGTACGTGTGAGAAATCAGCCCTTTGGGGGAGAAAGAAGCCTGTACTTTCAGAGAAGGGATTACTTTACCCCATTACAAATGCCTTTTTATGCCAACATGGTGGGGGGGTGGCTGCAGGTAACTAGGCTATTATAAAAAAGAGTTGTGACTCAAAAAATGTTGGGATCCACTGATTCTAGGCCAACCATCTGTAGCCTTGTGCCCTCCAGATGTGTGCTGCCTGAAGGGATTGGAGTTATAGTACAACACATCTGGAAGGTACAAGACTAGGGACAGAAGTTTTAGGATGTACTTAGTTCTCACAAGGTGATAGTAAAGCAGAAGAGGCTTGCCCATATAAACTAGCAAGGTGTCATAGAACATGACACAGAATCCTTTGAAAAGAATGAGGTTAGATGGTGGCTTTGTAGGGTTTCTGGGCAGAAAGTCAATGTAACTTGGTTCTTTCAAAATATAAAGGTCTGTAGCCACTGCTGTAGCATATAACTGTGACGTTTATGAACATGTTACAGCTTACATGGACTACTATTGGGAGATCAATGTTTCTTTATCACTGTTAGGCAGGCTGGCTGGCTAGCTCACTAAGACAGAGTACCTGGCTGAGTAATGAATCAGGAGTTTGATTTCCTGCTGAACTTCATAGGAAAAGAGCCATCCGGTGTGGTATTCAGCAAGCTATGTGGTCCCTGAATGAATGAATGAATGAATGAATGAATGAATGAATGAATGAATAAATAAATAAATAAATAAATAAATAAATAAATAACCAACCCGGAAGAAGGGAATGGTAAACCATTTGTGAATACTCTCTGAGAAGGGTTACCATATATCAAGATTACTTTGACAGTATGTTATTAAGGTAATATTCACATACAGTAAAATAGTAATAATTACATGTTAAGTCAGTTCAAAATTATGATGACCCTTTTCTGAAGTCCCAGAAATGTGATTATTATAAATCAGGTACATAAGTGGTATCATAAATAATGCCCAATAGAATTGGCTTCTTGTCTCTTTTTTTGTAAGCATTCTTCCGCAAGACAGGCAAAAGAACAAAGAAACACCCATAGAGACGCATCACACGCCACAGATAGTGATAGGGGTAGAATTTTCTGTTTGCCTTCTTCTACACGTTAACCAAAGGATCCACAGAGGGGAGGTTGCATTTGCAGAGAGGCCTGTCCATATGGTGTCATGTTTGCAAAAGAGGTCTCTGTGTGGTGAATGTTTCTGTAAGGAATTTATACCTGACAGGCTTTTTGGGCTATATAGTAGACCCATATGTAAAATCGGTAGAGTAGCATACAGGTATCAAGGGTAAGCTGGCTGCACTATGTGAAAGAACCGGGAGTGCAGTCACCATCTTTGCCATTTGAACTTTCAAATGTTTGCAAAGGACTGAAGCAGGCATGGGCAACCTTTGGCTCCATCCAGCATATCTAGCGATAAAGGATCATGGAAGTTGTGATCCAAAAACATCTGGAAGGAAACCATTTGATATGAAATATTTGTGGCTGAATATTAAGTATGTAAACCTACATTTGATTTGGCAAGGAGATAAAATGGAAGTAAAATACTTCTGTTGCAGCTATTTCTCTGGGAACAGAAGAATCAGATGCATTTGTTTTTGAAAAATGATAACAATGTTGCCACCTAGTGTTGATTTGTAGCGAGCATCTGAAGAGGAAAGTTTCATAGTCTTTAAAACATTAGATGTAAATACTTACACAGTTTGGTCTTGTGGAATGTAAAAATGTTTTACATGGCTACTAGAGCGTTTATTATGTTACTGTGTTTTCCTGTAAATAAGACAGGGTCTTATATTAATTTTTGCTTGGAAAAACGCATTAGGGCTTATTTTCAGGGGATGTTTTATTTTTTTCCATGTACAACCATCTACATTTATTCAAATACAGCCCTGTCATCTTCTTCTGGTTGCTGCACAATGGTGGAGGGCAGGGTCCCACATAACTAGGGCCTATTTGGGGGGTAGGGCTTATATTACGAGCATCCTGAAAAATCATGCATGGGCTTATTTTCAGGTTAGGTCTTATTTTCGGGAAAACGGGGTACCATACATCTTACGTTTTGTGGCTTTCTTGTTTATTTTTTTGTTTTAACTAGAGAGCCAATTTCAGGCATATCTGATCCTTGAAGCAGCTGCGGCTCCTGTTTTGAAAGAGCTTGTGTCTTTTGGCATATATAATTGGAGCTTTGCTACCCTTAATTTTGATGACTCCAGATTTTTTTTAAAACAACAAGAGAAAGTGATGAGTGATACTTTTAAACAAGATGTGACTGGTAAGGTGACATTTGGCTCTTAAATCACTCTATTTATACAGAGATTGTATAAATTACTCTAGAATATAAATGAAGTCATTCATAAATTAGAGCACATCTACGTTGGCTCTTTTGGAGGAGATGGGTGTGGGCTAAATAGGGTCACTTGGGGTCCAGTGGAAGTGCAGTATGCCATTTGGTGCAATCTACTCATGCAATCCAACTTCATATGGCTCCTTCCAATGTCATGAATAATGTCACTTAATAAGTGTCATATTCCCACCTGTCCCTTGGTTGTTTCACCAAACAAAGGGCACCAGCTGTGTATCGTGTTGCTGCCACCAGTTGATTACATTGACATTATGTATTATTAATAACAGAGGTCCAGGCAATGTGTCATTTTAAATAGAACCAAATTGAAGATGTTTATTGATACAGGTGATGAAGGTACAATCAATGTCTTTAACTCTTAACCAAACATCCTACTTCATCCACTCTCAACTGCTCACTCTCTCTCCCTGCTCCACTCCCAATTCCAAAACCTCCCTTCTCAACTCTTCCACTCTTCCTCCTGCAGAGACTCTTATATCTGGTGAATCCGCTTCTCCAGCACTCTCATTGGTACATGCAAATAGCTTATTACTATTCATGACCTGGCCAGACGCCACACTAAGGAAGGCACTTCAGAGTACAGTATCAACAAATTGAACACTTCCTCTGCTCCTGAGTGGAAGGGCAGGGGAAGTTGATTTTTTTAAAAAAAATGTCCTTGGTGAACACCACTGAGGCTCTGCATCACTTTAAAAAATTGCATTTGGCTTGTCTGAACAGTCAAGAAACTGCAGACAGGTTCTTTAAGAGAAATTAAAGAAAATATTGTTAGTTTTCCTTTTTTTAAAAGTGATGCAGTGCATCTTTGATGGTCTATTAGAGTCTTTAAAAAAAACACTTACCCTCTGCCTTTGCCAAAGAGTAGAGGAAGTGTTTAATTTGTTGATATTCTGAAGTGGCTTGCTGATTAAGAAATTCAAAAAGGAAGGAGCCTTGACAGCCAGGAAGATTCACTTTTGGTCCGTTTCCAGTGATCACACACACTGGAAACAGACCAAGCCAGAGCAATCCTACCAATGCCAAAAATGTAGAAGACCCTGACAGGTGCTCAGAAAGGACTGCTCTGGGGACAGTTTGGTTGACTCCATCAATTACGTTGTGTGATCACTGGGGGGAAAAGAGCAAACTGAACTGTCCCCACAGAAGAGCAAACAGTGGGACAAATGCCTTAGTTGAGAGGGTAATTGTCCTGGAAGCTCTTTTTCAAGGTTTCTTTCCATGAACTTCCTCCATAAGATCCCTCTAAATGAAGATGTTGAGATCTCCTCCATGTAAAGATTGTGCTATGGGCCTCTATCCATATTTCCAACTAAAAAATGCTTCTGTATTAGGTCTAGGAGAGAGATGGGGCTTGATCGACCCATATGACTCAGTCTGACTCAGTATAAGGCAGCTTCAGATGTTCATATATTTGTGATCAGAGGTAGCCTTGGAAACACAAGGACAGATTAGGAAAAGAAGGACTGTGTGTCCAAAACAGTGATGGTGACTCAGGTTGCTTTCATAGTAACTCCTTACTCCTCCTGAGTGGACATCATTCTTTTTATGCAGTTTATAGGGATAATCCACATGACATTGTTGCCAAACCATTGTATTCTAATTGTTTACATGTTGTCATTATTGTTTCATCACACCAGATTATTTTAACAGTATTGCCACCTAAGTGATTGATTATTCATTATTTTCATATTGTAGAAATAAATAAATAGTTATTTGTGTGGTTAGGGAAGATAAATACAAACAATACCTTCTTTTTGCTTTATTTAGCAGGTACCAGTAATGCAAGAGATATTACACTTTCCAAACATGCTGCTCTTCTTCATTTGCTGGTAACAGTTAGAGATCTCTTATTAACATGTAACTTGAACACAGCATTAGGTTAGTTTTATAAATAAATGTACCTGTTCATTGTTCAAATGAGATATAGAATTTTTTAAAACCCAGAACATTGGTGTAAATTGAAAACACGCTGACCAAAATCCTCTTGAGCAAGATCAGTATATATAATAGGAGTGTCAGCGTTGGGAATGGCTGCTGATTAAATGCTTCCTTTTGAGATTTTAGGGTGCACAGTGCTTTGTCTTATTGTATGTGAGCTGTGCATACCCTAAAATCACAAAAGGAAGCCTTTACTCAGTGGCAGTCTGCCATAGCCAAATCTGTTGTTCCTTGTGAGCAGGCAAAACTGCACAATGGGCTTTTAATTGCTGTGATAGTGTGAACACCCACTAATATTTTGAAGAGTTTCAAAATAAAATACTTTCTAGAAAGTACTGTATTATCACTTCTATCAAAATAGTTTTTATCCTGAGATTGCATATGAAGCATATATGGAAAACTAAAGGTTGAAGGAAGGATACAACAATTTGATGTAATAATATCTAAATTGTATTGTTGCTAGTCAAGTTTGTAAAGCATGCCGTAATGTTATTATTACATACTTGAAATAGGATATTTGTCCAAGGCAAAAGATAGATATGAGGACTTCTTAGGCTGTACTTTGGATAAGGTTTGGAGACAGTTGAAGATTGTGCAGATTGCTGTGCAGAATTGGACACTCAATCCCAAGATAACAGAACTGCATCATCAGATGTCTAAGTGGGTGCACAGCAATATGAATAACCAGAATAAGGTAAATAACAAAGATTTATATTTGATGCATACTGTTGTATAATTATGTTGCCAGAATTATTGTACACAATGATGCATATAATGTAAAACGTTAAAGAACAGATGTTGCTCTATTAATAGAGCTAATGGACAAATGGAGCCTTGAACTGGTGCCCTTCCTACTCAGCAGAGGGTTTAAAAGAAAAATACTTTGCTATAACTCTTAATTGGGTGCAAAAGCAAACATGCCATTCTCCCTAGGTTTCCACTCTTACAGATTCCCATCCAACTAGCAAATGTGTCCCATCTTTCACTGGAATTTCTTCAGGTGTGGTTTCTCCTAGCAGGCTCAAGAGTCACTGACAGGGCTGGCTCAACTTACCTTGTTTATGTTATCCTGGTTTAGTGATGTTATGGCTGTGATGATTTGATTTTTATTTTATTACTGTATTGTCATTGTTTATTTATTGTCATTTCTGTTTGATTTTATTGTTTATGAGCCATCTAGAATAGTGCCTTGCAGTAATGGGGCGGTATAAAAATCAATTAGACAGACAGACAGACAGACAGACAGACAGACAGACAGACAGACAGATAGATAGATAGATAGATAGATAGATAGATAGATAGATAGATAGATAGATAGATAGATAGATAGATAGATAGATAGATAGATAGATAGATAGATAGATAGATAGATAGATAGAGTTTGTAACCTAAAGTGGATTGCCATCACCCAAACTGAAGTGCATTGCACCTAAAGCCAAATAAGTTATTTTGGCATCTGAGAGAGAAAAATCACAAGTATCTCTTTCCATTGTTGACATAACAATAACGATGATAATGTATTAAATAGCTAGTAAGTTATTGCATTTTCATGATACCAAACATCTGCTTCCTGAGGCAGCTGCCTCACCCTGTATATGTACAGCTGTCTGTGATGATGATGATGATGATGATGATGATGATGATGACGACGACGACGACGACGACGACGACGACGACAACAACAACAACAACAACAACAACAACAACAACAACAACAACAACGGCCAGAATCCTCTTGAGAAAATCCATGTGCATGGAGCAGTTGCACAGCAAGTGGGTTTTTCCCCCCACTCCTGCATGCTGTCCTTTGCATGACTGGTTGTGCCCCTCATTTCACAAACTGGGTGCTCGTGTGAAGGGGAGCCTGCCTGTGATGGGAAAGGCCTGCATGATTTTCCTTCTGCCATTGTGTAAATCCATAGGATTAGGGCTCATGTCCCTAAAAGGTCCTTGTCCAGCACTTCCCCACTGCATTAAAGCAGAAACACTGCTAGCTTCTAGGCTCTTGTGTAGGGAATAGGAGCAGCTCTCAGTAATGTAGCAAGGAAATGGGGCAGCTTGCACAGCAAGATAGAGGACTGACGACTGATTGTAGAAGTATTAATTTGTGCATGGTCTTGCTTTTCATTTTTCCATATCATGATTTCTACTTCCACATTTTTTTAAATTGTTCTTCCATCTTGTAATAAATCCTAAATTCTTCTTCCATCTCATAATAAATCCAGTGGTGTTGATCATACTCTGCTAACATCTTAACATCTATTTACTTTTAGCTGTCAAATAAGATATAGATTGAATTGTAAAGATATACATGTTAATGTTTTTTATTCTGTGTTAGGTAGTAATTATAACTAGAATGGATTTTGATGAAGAAATAGCTCTCCTAATCAACTCTATTAGCACAGTAGAGGGTAAGTGAGCCTTGTTTATATACTTGCGTATATACACTTTCATACTCAATTTATGCCTTGGATCAGGATGCCAAGGTGCTAATATTATTATTTTCCCCCCAATTCCTGTATGTAGTGAGAATTTCCACATTTTCATTTCTTTTTGAATGACAAGCCACAGAGGTAGAAACGTTTGGTAATGTTGTGTCAAACCCTGCATTGAGCTTATAGGGGCACACATGGCTATGCTATAAACTAAATAAGGGCCTTGCTAGATCAGACTAGTGACTTACCTCCTTCTGCATTCCATAGCTAATTGGATGTCTATGGGAAGACCACAAGTACAGCATCAGAATAATAACAGCATCAAACCTTATGTCAACTAGCTAAACAATCCAGACCTAGTTGTATTTCCATTCTTTGTTGGCTAGGTAACGTCTTACACATTTCCAGTCCACATTTTCCAGTCCACATCCAATCTTGTGGGATATATCCTGACACCCCCCTCTCTTGGATGCACATCTTAAGATGGTGAGGGGGTTTGAGTATGTCAGGAAAGCTGAGAGCAATATTGTCAGGAGTGCAGACTCAGTCAAGAATCTCCCAAGATGAAATGGCCAAAGCTGACAACAGACTTAAGACACATCTGCCTTCTTCAAAAATAATGGTTGCAATATTATATGGTTTCTTAAGAGAATTGATAGTCCTAGTGGTGATGGATGTGAAGAGATTGTAGAAGGGCAGGTACTATGTCTCAGCAGTGCTGGAAAGTGATATTGGTGGAAGAGCTTTCATAGACAAGTGGCAGTGATAGACTAATCTTGTCGGTGTTGTGCAGAAGGAGGCAATAGTAAGCCATATCTCAGGGCACTTCTATCTTGAAAATCCTATGAGGAAGGAATCCAAAATAAAACAAGAGATAGTGCTAGAAGATGAGACTTCTGGGTTGGAAGGCACTCAGTGGGTTACTAAAGGAGAGCTGAAGATAAGCACAAGTACGTACTGATGTTCTGATAAACCAACTGGACTAGAGTCAAAAGGGCATTCACCTGCTGATATGCATAGATTTTAAAAGAAAGTCCAAGGCTGACATACATTATTGGAACCTAGAGTGTTAGAAGCATGAATCAGGGAAAGACTGAAATTGTAAAACAAGAAATGGAACCTATGAATATCACAATATGTGAATTAAAGCGGACTAGAATAGGACATTTTCAGCTGTCAACTTAGAAGAAATGGGGTGGTTCTGATAATAAGCTGTCATGTCGCTCAAGAGGTTGTGAGCTATAATGTAAATTCGGACTGATTAGTATCTATCAGAAATCACAGGAAGCCTGTCAGTACAACCATCATTCAAGTCAATGCTCCAATTACTAATGCGGAAGAAGAAGAAAAATCGGAAGCTTCTGTGTAAGTGTCCAAGAGAAAACTGATCACACTGCAAAAGAGGAGATCCTGATAATCATAGTAGACTACAATGCAGAAGAGAGAAATAAAGCAGAACTAAATGTTACCAGAAGATTTTGCTTTGAATTACAAATAAAGCAGGAGAGTGACTCAGTGAATTCTGTGATCTGATAATCTGTTTATTGCACTTATGGTTCAAGGAATCATACCAATAATTGTATATAGTAGGACCCCCATTTCTAGTCCCTCCCCCCGTGGATACTGAAAACCACAGATAATAGCAAAGGCTATGTATTCTTCTCTAACAAGTACTGTATTCATAGTGCGGCCTCTGTCTCCCTCTAGTGGTCTAGTTCTGGTCATACATGTGAAAATAGGTTTTTCTGATTTTTTTTCTTTTAGTATTTTTAATACTTTCAGATCATGGATAAGTGAAACTGTGGATACTGATCTTGTGGATATGGGGGTCCTACTGTATATGGATGTCACCAGATCACCAATATAGAAACTAAATAAAATGTTTAAATAGAAACAAGACTAAAAGTATTCTATGGTACAGATTATGGACTGTTAGTGTCAAAAATTAGAGTAAAGCTGAAGAAGAGGAAGATCACTTTATCAAAATATAATGTAAATAACATTCCAGATGTAAAGACCATGGGGAAGAGATTTGCATTACTAAATACAATCAGTTGCAAACCAGATGAACTGAAAAATTGAAAACAAAATATAATATCTGTAACCAAAAGATAAGGAAAATTTTGATAGATGGCTGATCAATCTCCTAAAATTGTTAATGAGAAACAAAAGTAAATACAGAAAAGGAGTCAAAATCTTAAACATAACTTTTCAGTATTTTGCACACAGGGGCAAAGAGGACTATTGCAATAATTGCAAAGGATCAGGAGAGAGCACACAAAAATGAAAACAAGATATTGGAAGAAGAAAATGGGTCATCTAAGCCAAAATTTGGGATGTTGCAAGATCAGTGGATAGACCTCTTATCTGGATCAAATGAAGACAATCTTGAATATATCATGAGAAGCCAAAACTAGCTCAAAAAGACAATAATGCTAAAAAAAAGTTGAAGGCATTTGGGAAATAAGAACATTAAACATGAAATGGATTGATTCAGTAAAGGAATCCACAGTCTTTACTTTGCAAGACACGCACAGGGTTGTTAATAACAGATGTTTTGCAGGTTGTTAATTTGCAGGTTGCCAAAAACTGGAAATGACTTGATGGCACATAACAGTCATATCCTAGTAATGAACTATTATGGTTTAATTAAAACTGCAATCCTGTAGCCTTTGCCAGAGAGTAAGTGCTGTTGACAACAGCAGAGCTTCCATTTGAGTAAACATGCAGAGAATTAGGCTGTTAGAGGCCTTTATTGTTTCATCAAGATCTATTGAATAGGTATTTTCTGTTTCTTGAAGAAACATCAAGAGACCCATTAGAAAGAAGACTGATATACAAAAAATGGTAATTTAATAGCTATTAATAAAGAGCATTTTGCAATGGAAAGTAATAGATTAACAATGACTGCTTTTAGAAGTTAAATAAAAGAGAAAAAATAAAGTGCATTTATATACCGTATTTTTCGCACCATAAGACGCACTTCCCCCCCACAAAACAGGGGGGTGGAAAGTTTGTGCGTCTTATGGAGTGAAGAAAACAGATTATATTTTCCTGTTTTCTTCTCCTGAAAAATTGATGCGTCTTATGGAAAGGTGCGTCCTATGGAGCGAAAAATACGGTAAATATTCAAGAGTCAATTATATCAGTATAATTACTGTTTGACATTATTATTTTACTTTCTTTTTTTACCATGTCAAACAGCATAACATTTCTCAGCAACTGCTCATTGGCTATATGTCAGTCTTAATAGATGAGTTTTTAACAGAATATTTCTATCTTTAAACAGGCTTGAAAACAGGATATTTGAAAACAGAAAGAAGGGGAACTTTCTTAGAGAGTAAAAATGTGATAAGTAGGTGGGTATAGCTCATTTTTTGTTGAAAAACACATGAAGGTCTTGAAATGCATTCAGAAGAGCATTTGTAGAAAGTAACTGAAGGTAATCATACTAAAAGTTTTTTTATTAATGTTTAATTTTTAGTTTGGAACAATATGATTGTGTGGTTGTACATAATCAGCACATTGGACCCAATTTTCCTTGGACATGTTTTTCATCAGTACTGGAGTATAACTATTCAGAAAATTCCTGTTGGATTGATCTGTGCAAAAGCATGAAGATTTCTTACCTAGCTTTCAGGACAGCTGTCCCAGAAGCAGGTAGAACTTGTTTTTAAGTGTTTAAGATACCATGTGGATAGAAAAGAAAGGGTTGTGCATAATTAATTTGCAAAGTGTTCTATATATATTAAGCCCACAATTCTTGTAAGAACCTCTTCAGGTGCATCAGTACTGCATTAAAAACAGGTAACTGAAGGTGAATATGTGTAGTTTGCATAAAACCACTTGACTGATTCATTATTTCATCTAGTTCACCTAATGCATTATTTATGTGATATTTTATCCCAGGACTGTCAGAGTCATAGTCCACTTTCTCTTAGGTCAGTCCTATGATACCAATTCATAAACAAGTCTTATTAAGGGACTTTGTCCCAGATAAATAAGATGTTCTGTATAGAATTGCAACCTTAGCCATTAACCTTTGTACTAGAAATCTTCGAGGTTTGGAAACACTAATGAACATACAGCTTGTTTCTCATAAGGACAACCTCATTAATTTCAATAAAGACAGCTGATATGATGCAATTCCCCATGCAGATGCCAATCTGTCCCCACTATTTAAATCAATGAAGCAAGATAGCATATGCAAGAGCTCTGTTAGAATCACATTTCTTGAAGAGCCATCTCCATTGAAAGTTGCTTAGTTCTAAATTATGGAGATTAGGGGTGGTACACTAAAAGCATTACCAGAAGGCTTTCAGTCTGGGGATGGGAATGTGCAGCTTTAGAACTTCTCCGTATTGGTTTGTGATACTGTTGTGTTGGCCCCTATAGCTGTTAAGAACAAGACTGTGTGGTCTTTAGGGCATGGATTTTGCAACATGACCCTATGTTTCCTTGTACAACCAAGAACAAGATGAAATTGTCACTTAAAAGCCAGTTAATTGTCAGTTACAGAATTACATTGCATGGGTGTAATAAAACAGGACTTTCCAAAATTCTATCCACTCATAAAAAATAAAGAGTTCACCAAACATTTTTGAGATTATTGTCCAAAATGAATATAATCTCATCTGAAATACAGGTATTTGGACCTATCATAATTCTATATCATAATTCTCATATGATTTTTGATCAGGGACAGTGTCATTTCTATATTCCTGTACAAGTCCCAGCCATGATGCTGGATACCAGTTAGTAGAAGTCACAGCAATGTGCTTTTTTGTGAAGTTTTTACACTGTTTATCTTTAGTAGAGATCTTCCCAGATAATTCTGGAGATGTCCTTTTGAAGGTGCAAATTCCCTACATTTTTCTGACATCTGAGGGACTTCTCAACATCCCAGAAATTCTTCAGCTACTAGAGTCTGAGTGAGTAATGAAACCACAGCCAGTTTAATGTTGCATCCCTGACTTAGTCAGCTCTCACACCATCATATTTTTATTTATTTATTTATTTATTCAATTAAAATACAATAAAAGATAAAACGATTAAAATACAATTAAAATTGCCACCAGGACCCACAGTTGATGTTATTTCAATTATTTGCCCCTCATTCCCTTCATTTGCCTCTCTGGTGACTCTGTCTGGTACCAAAGTATTTTGGTATGCAGGATGACAAGGAATGAGGTGCATTCAAAAGAATACTTTTGTCCCACTTCTCAGTAAGCAGTGGGCACTAAATCAGGGTAGCTAGATAACAACAGCCTTCTGTGCAGCAGTTCAGCTAAAAAAAACTGCATTGCTGTGAAGTGCAGAAAAGCCCCATTAGAGCTCAGTGTGATACAGGGCCAAGTGTCCATGATGAAGAGAGCATCTCTCTTTAGAGGGAAATAACTCTGGAATGCATGAAAGATACAGTTGTAATATTTTGGATTGTGGAATTGCCTGCCACTGTTCTGCTAACAGGGATTTCTCTTTTTAGATACAATGTTACATTTATTGAGCGAAGTGCCTGTGAGGCTTTACAGTTCTTTGGTAGCACAGAACACTATGTTGTGATGACGATAGATGAAGGCACTGCCATCATTGTCCAGGTAAGAAATATCACTACTGCCTGTGAGTACATGTAAATGACACTGCTCCAATGTACATTATTGAAGGTACTGTCTTAGACATGGAGAGGAATTGTATAGGTCTGTTGGCAATTTAATAATCAATCAACATAAGCAAGGTTCTAATATATTTTGTCGTGTTATTTGATTGAGGGGTTTGCAAATCTACTAAATATATTGGCTACATCCTGTTGCATAATTTATGCCTGTAGAAGGGCAAGGATATAAAAAGCTTCCTACTTCTGCCCCACAGCTTTTGTGATTCCTGTGTAATCACTTCCAATGTGGAAACTGCAGGACAAAAGGAGGGAGTCTTTGATTACCAACCTTCTACAGTCGTGCCCTGCTTTACGATTGCCCTGCATTACAATGAAACCGCATTACGATGACGTTTTTGCGATCGCAAAACGATGGTCTGAATAGGCTTTTTTTTGCCTTGCGGTGATCAGTTCCCTGCTTCGGGAACCGATTCTTCGCAAAACAACGATTTTCCTACAGCTGATCGGCGGTTTCAAAATGGCCACCGGGGAAATAAAATGGCTCCCCACTGTTTTCTGGGATGGATTCCTCACAAGACAGCCACCGAAAATGGCCGCCCTATGGAGGATCTTCGCTGGACAGTGAGTTTTTAGCCCATTGGAATGCATTAAATGTGTTTGATGCGTTTCAGTGGGTTTTTTATTTTCACATTACGACGTTTTCGTTCTACAGCGATTTCGCTGGAATGAATTAATGTCGTAATGTGGGGCTCCACTGTACTTCTGTCCTGCACTTCCCATGGCTTCTGTGCAATGAAGGGGATTACACTGGAGTCACAAAAGGCATGAGATACAAGTAGGATACTGTATTTTTAATTACAAAAAAATCTTTCCTACCCATAATGTCATCATTCTTCCATAGGCATAAGTTAGGCAACAGGATGTCAGCTATTGTATTATTTAATTTGCCACCTTAATAATAATATATAAACTTGATAGATTATTAAAGACAATTGTTAAGTGAGCTTTCAAGTTTGCTAAGTTAAAGATCACAAATCAAAGAATAGAGTAACAGAATAATGAAACAGTAAAGCATTAAAAATTACTACAATCACTTGTAATATTACCCGTGCATCTTCTTCTATCAGTGGAATTGTGAGGGGCTTAATCACTCCTTCATCTTCACACATATAAACCCTCCAATTTCAAAGTATGCTTTGGAGTTCCAGGATACCCTCCAGATGGGGGGAGAGGAGATGTAAATACTTTTATACTAGCAGGCATCTGCTAGTATAGTGTTTAATATCAGCTTGGACATCAAAGTGTTGAATGTCTTGTTTAAAGCCATACTTTCTATACAATTGCATTTTACACCTGGGCTAATTACAAAGTTTAAGACAGGGGACTCAGTCACACATGAGAAAAGAACCAGACTTATACAAATTCTTTTCACATACAGTGGACCCTTGACTTACAGACGGCTTGACTTACAGACTTTTTGACTTGAGAACCGCCTTCCAATACGGATTAAGTTCTCAAGTCAAGACCCCACTGTATCTTGTATTTGTTCCAACAGTCACATGGTATATATATCAGCAGGAGCGTTCACATGGTTTTTAACTGCACCAATTCATTTATTTTTATTAGAACCATTATAGCAGGTTACAGTGCTCTCAATTTTGTATCAATTAATTTTCTCTACTGTTTCTTGGTGCAATCAGCCCCCCTTGTCCTTTCAAAAACAAAAGCAAAAGTGATATATCCACAGAACAATGGAGTCTGAGCCTTGAGAGGAGGAAATGAGTTTTGAAAGGATTTTCTCTACTATTTCTTGGGGCAATCAGCCCCCCTTGCAAAGTATGGTGAAGAGCAGGGTTAAAAAGAGAGGAGATGTTAATGCAATGCTCCTATCTTTACAATTCAAAGCAGGAAATCTGTCTCTTTCTAGCCCTCTTACACTTGCAAGGGAAGTGGGGGAAGGCTGTCTCCTTTGAGCTGTTTCCTTCTGAGCAATGTGTTCTCTCCCCCCCCCATCTTTCTTTTTCCCTTTAAACAATCCCAGGCAGAAAATGGCCCTTTCTCTTCTGTGAAGCTCTCTTTCCTCACTTGCAAGGGTGCTTCTGAGCAATATAGTCATTTTCTATGTGTTTGTGTGTATGTGTGTGTGTGTTTGTGAGAGAGAGAGAGCTGCTTTGTTGAATCAATATGCCTTTAAAAAGATTTAAAAAAAAAAAGTACACGTGCAGTGGCCATGAGGTGACCACAGCACCCAGAAACCCAACCCCTTTGCAAGAGAAATAAATCAGCAACAATGTTCACACATGCTGAAATGATAAGGAATGTAGTAATTCATCATCAGTACAATTTAAAACCACCCTCTTGGCAAGGAGGCAATAAATCGTTTGCCAGGACAAATGAATCAATATTGGCTGTGTATCATGGGAATGAAAAACTATGAAACAATCTAAAATATGTCTGCTAATCCATAACCGCCCAGAGCAGACCTTTGGTCTAGATGGGCAGGATAGAAATCCAATAAATAAATAAATAAATAAATGGCCAAATCAATATAATTGGGGTTCTTTTGATAGCTGTGATAGAACCCAGGGAAATGTTTTTAGTTGTGCGGCTGAATGCTACTTTGAGAAAGGTCTTGCATTTTAGCAGTGACCATGCCTAAGGATTTGAGATAGTTTTTGCAGGAAAGAATAAATGACGTAGGCGGGACCAGATATAATTCTTGCTAATTTGACCGTTTCCTCACCAGGCATGTAGAGCATAGCTCTCTTCTGCACATGTCTGCTCAGGAATAAGTTGAGTACAATAACTTACTTTCCTTCAAAGTGCAGCTCATTTCCATGCAACAGCATTACCACCAGCAAATTACAGAGTATTTTGAGTTTGAATATGTTTAAATACATTCTTACCTCTGATTAGAGATAATAACAGAATAAGCTTGTAAACTGCATGGGGAATCCCCATAGAATTCATCCACCCCAGAAGCTGAAGTTTCCTTGTTGCTGGTTGAAGAGCTTCATAGTATAATTTGAGGTGTTAAGACACATTTGCTGATCCTCTTGTGACTGGATAGAAGTTTTCATTATAAATCTCAATATACATCTTAGTTGAATTATTACCATTCTATAGAAAGGGAGATTCCGCATGCAAGAGTAAGTATCTTTCCAAATTATGAGTGAATCCCTACCTTTGCTCAAACCATTTGTAAGGACAAGTGTAGTCTTGCGTATAAAGTCAAACACTTGCTGCCTTATGCCTATTTCATTATAGAATGTGGAAGAACTCAATCAAGAAAAGTCTTCTGATAATATTGTGTTAAGGCTGATGGTGCTATCACTTCAGTACACCACCTGCTGGATGATTTTATACTCCAGAGAAAGACTAAATTCTGAGTAAGTTCGAACATTCTGGTTGATTTTGGCTCATGAATCATATGTATTTTTGTAACAAGCGAATATTGAGATTTTTAAAAATTGTTCCAAAGCTATGACTGGAGCACCAGGGAGCCAAGCTGAGGCTTTTTAGCTTTAATTTTAACAAATAATAAATATCTAGCTTAAGGACTGGCAAGTAGTCATTGGACTGTAATTCCAGACTGAGGACGCAACCAGATGGCCCAATTATCCTCATCTAGACTGTTCTAAACAGGATCGCTTGGGGACGCAGGTCATTTGGGGTGATTCTTACATCCACATCTCAAGCAACTCTGTTTAGCACAATCTGGAATGATCTTCTTTCCCTTTAAAGAAAGAGGAGAAACAACAACAAAAAGATCCGCCTCCAGTCTCCTTCTCCATGTTTTATCTAATGATCTTGAGAAATAGGAAGCTTCCTTTCTGCTTGCCTTTGGAAGGGAAGGGAGACAAAGTATTCCATTTCTTTTTTAATTGTTGCTAACCGATGCATCACTGATGTGTTTGCACTCATTTTAAAACATGGAAAACTTTATTTTCCTTCCTCTCTGTAGGCGAGTAGCTAAGAAGCTTGCCATTTCTTGAAATTGTTAAGCAGCTTCAGCAAAGGGCCGGACAGTCAGCTGCTTTGGTTCAATCCCAGCAATCACATCTGCTGGAACCGGACCAAGATGGAGCAGTCCTAACCATAGTCCCTCCAAAAAAGGAGCTCCTGACAAAAGATCAAAAAGGTGCAAGTAGGGAAGGGTGGGATGGTTCACAACAGCCCATATGTCATATAGTTGCCAGAAAAAGAAGCAAAACATCCTGTCCCCAACCCGGACCAAACAATGGGACAAATACCTGTCTGATCACACTGGAGTTAGGTAATGATGCTAAGATGGAGAATAGCAGTCCTACAGCATCTGGAGGGTCACAGGTTGCCCCTCTCTTCCCTGGCCCTTTTATTTGTTCAGATCTAAGGGAAAGCATGGCAGCTGGATAGCTCAGGGGGTTAAGTCTCTGACTGCACAGCCAGAGGCTGGGAGTTTGATCCCCCCACCCATGCCTCCTGTGAATAGAGCCAGCCTGTGTGGCCTTGGGCAAAGTGCACAGTCCTAGGGTGCCCCCAGAAGAAGGGGATGGTAAACTACTTCTGTGTATTCTCTACCTAACCTGGAAAGGATCATCCTAAACTGGAATTTACTTGATGGCATGCAATTATTATTCTTGTTGTTTGGAGGTGGGTTGCAGTGAGACAAAATGTTAGTGTGTATTCTCTACCTAACCTGGAAAGGATCACCCTAAGCTGGAATTTACTTGACCGCATGCAATTATTATTCTTGTTGCTTGGAGGCTGGGTTGCAGTGAGAAAATATGTTAGTTCTCATTGGACTGGGAAGGATGGGTGTGGGAGACATTTGTTTACCATAGGTCCATTTAGAAATGTCTACTAAATTCAGTGGGATTTAGCACCCAGAAAAATCTGCATAGTATTGCAGTCAAAATGTGTCAAATAAACCTAAAAATAATCAAGGCTGTATGAAGTCAGTGCCGTTCCTCCTTCAGCCAGCATTCCTTCAGACACTGCTGCTGCTTTTTTGTTTTGTTCTTTTACTGAAAATGTAAATAAGTAAAGAGAATTCTTAACATTCAGTGTTGTGGGATTTTGTTTGTTTATTTTAGGATTATGAATGCAGATATGAATGTAAATGTTTTTTTAAAAAACTGATTTTTTAAAAAGGTATAGCCTAGCTGCAAAGACTCTGCATCATCTGGCATTAATATACGCAGCCTTAGTATCATTTGCTCAGAAGACGGAAGATTTTGATGTGAAGGTAATTTGTTGTAAAAGACATTTGTTAACATATATTACCAAGTTTCATTGATAAAACTACTCTCTCATTAGCAAAAGATCTGATTGTTCATCTGTTCTGACAAAAATCACGAAACAGGTTAGATTCAAATAGCTGATCTGACGGATTTCAAAAGGTGTAAGAGAGCTGATTGAGAACCAGTGTAGTGTGGTGTATTGGTCTAGGTAGGACTCAAGAGACATGCTTTCAAATCCCTGCTTGGCCCTGGACGCTCACTTGATGGTGGTTGGGGGGCATTGTTAAAACGACTCCTTAAATGCCTCACATACCTTGGATAGGGTTATTAGGTTTGATACAAGCTGGAATTGACTCAATGGTACATAAAATATAGAAGAGATCTGATATGGTGGTCAAATAGAATCCATGAAAGAATTCCTCCTTATCTGTTAAGTTTCCCATCCCTTAACCATGTCATGGACCCATTTTGGGAGGCAAATGCTTGGACTGAGCACATTTTATCCCTGAAGGATCACATTTCTTAATCTTGTAAGTAATTAACTGAAATCAGGGCAGATTTCCTTGTCTTACACCTATGACAATTCCTACATGCCCAGATATGCAGAAAGGTTGTAGAAATACTGGTACAATCAGTAAATACAGTGGCAGGGAACATTTTACCCCACCCCCCATGTAGTTGACTTGCAACTTCATTCATCAATCAGCATAGCCAATGGTAAGGGATGGTGGGAGACACAGCCTGACAACAGCTGCAGAACTACACACATCCGCCACCTCAACTCAAGGATTTTATTTAGCGCAAACCAAGCTTTTCCTTTTTTTACTTGTATATTGCTTGTGCTAATGGGGCTTTCTTGCATCATAGATGTGTTCAGATCACTGTTATGTTGCATGAATACAGACTAATACTTTGTCTGCTATTCTGCATCTGAAAAGATACGCACTTCTGTTTGAACAGAAGTAAATGCTGTCTCACCACTAGAGGTCAGCAAACCTAGCCAGTGCTAGAAGTTCACTGTACAGTACATTTTGTAGGTCTGTCTTCTCTATTGTTGAGATTGTTTTGGTGTGGGCCTCTTCTGCGTTTTCCCTTTTTACCCTCAAAAATATTTTGATTGGTTGGTTCCTTTTTGTGCCTTGCTACATCCTCATTGTGTTTACCCTTATTGTATTGCCTATGTTTTAAACTGACAAAGAAACAATATTTTAGGTGGTTCTTACACCAGGACTCGAAGAAACAGCACTCTTGGTTCGACAGATTGCTGACCATACTCTGCTGATATCAAAAAGACATCCCCAGGAATGGCTAGACAAATCCTGGCTTTCTGTCTTGCCATCAGAGGTCTGTTCATGTTAAACAATTTATCAGTTCCTGGTTATAGTATTTTTCATGTGTAGAGCCTGTAACAAAATGGGAATTACTGCAATCCAAAGGGAGCTCTTTTAAGAGGCACTACCAGGAAGAGACACAGACTGCCCTGTCTCTTCCTGGGATATTCTCCAGGAAAAGCAATTAAAAATTGAGACTCTGATTTTACTGGAGAAGCAGATCAGAAGAAGAGCAACTGATTAATCGTTGTTTGTTGCTTGCAACTTCAATGTGAGAAGGACAGGCATGAAAGAAGGAATCAAGTTTTTCATTTGAGTCCCTTCTGGGAAGTATATTCTATTGGTTAGCAGAGAGAAGGAAGGAAGGAAGGAGGGGAGGGGAGGGGAGGGAAGGAAAGGAAAGGAAAGGAAAGGAAGGCAGCAATGGGATAGATTTGCAGACTGGAAATGAGTTCATTGAAAAGTAATCAAATGGACACTGATGGGGGGGTGGATTTGGGAGTGAACTTACTATAAATTACAGTGGTGCCCCGCATAGCAACGTTAATCCATTCCAGATTAATCGTCGCTATCTGGAAACATCGCAATGCGGGTGGGAAAACCCCATAGAAACGCATTAAACTTTGTTTAATGCGCTCCTATGGGGCGAAAACCCACCATTATGCGAAGATCCTCCATAGCGCTGCCATTTTTGCACCCTCGGTAAGCAAGGAAATCGCGCAAAAATGGTTGCGGTGGCCATTTTGGAACCGCCGATCAGCTGGCCGAAAATGGGGCCGGCACTTGGCCAGGAGGGCAGGAGAAGGCTCCCCTGCCCTCCTTCCGAAGCACCTGTTGGCATTTTCCCCCGTGGTCCTTCCGAAACCCCCACTAGTCAGCTGGGGAAAAATGTTCCATAGGGAACATCGCAATGCGATCACTTTTGCGATCGCAAAATCCGCATCGCTATGCAGATGCGTCATTAAACGGGGTGCCTGTTAAGCGAGGCACCACTGTAGTTTCAAGCCAATTTATTTAGTGGTAGTTTGGAAAAATAAACTGGTTTGCCCTCTGGAGAATGGCTAGTCTGTTGGAGCAAAAGACAGAACGAAATGAGTTGTGTTTCGAGATGGGACTCCACGTCTGCCCAACGCAGATATCTCTATAGCTCTTGTGCATCTTACAGTCTTGACAATTTTCCTTCCTGTTGAATGGATGATCTTTATAAGGTCTGAATACTGGAAGTGGGCACAGTCCCATGTCAGCTATTTTATGAAGGTGCCTAAGCTAGTATTCCAAAATCCCAGACATGCAAACAGATATCCAAATGCTATGTTGCAAGTGCTCTAAGTAATTTCCGTATCAACAGATGCTCTGGGCATCTTGGTCTACTGGCTGCGAAGTAATATTTGCAGCCCTTCTTGTCCTATTAATCATTTTCAGTTTAACTACTTTGCAACAACTAGATATAATCTTTAAAAAAACATATTTTAAGAAGTTGCTTGGAAGCTATTGGCTTTTAAAGTCAAAACAAAATAAATATAACTTGCCGTAATTTACTTGGAAAATCTAAGAAAGCTAATGCTTTTCCCCCCTTACTTTCCCTTCCAGTCAGAGAAATGCTTGCTTACATTTCCCTGTATGAACCCTCTAGTGGCTCAAGTCATGCTAAGGAAAAGTTCTTCACTGGAGTGGCTTCTGTCAGCAACTTTTGATCAGCTTCAGAATCTTTTGCCTGAAGTGCCAGAAAAGGTTTTAAAGGTCAGGTGTGCTAGGTTTTAGCATGTCATATGTACAGTGTGTGTCTTTGTCCAGGTATATGTGCATCATGCATGCATTGGCCAGGATCCTGTTACGTTTTTATATGTCTGCAAGTGGAAATGTGGAAATTATGGCTGCTAATTGAAGCTAATCAATGACATGCCACTCATGCACCTAGTTGTAGGCTGAGTAGCAGAACCAGGTATGCAACTGTCACCTTGTTAATTAGCTTCAGTTAGCCACCATGACTTCCACATTTTCACTTGCAGACATGTAAAAGGCCAACAGGATTCTAGCTGAATAATTCAGTTTGTTTTGCCATACACGGGAGGCCAGAATAGTTCCTGAGGGTGTATTTATTTTTCTTAGAATGTAATAGTAGCCCTACACACACACACACACACACACACACACACACACAACACACACAACACACAACACACCACACACCACACACACACACACACACACACACACACACACACACACACGAGAATCCAAAGGATGAGATCCACTGGCAGATCTCCATCTGTAAATAGAACCAGGAGGAGAGCAATCTATCCTTCTGTCTGCCTGCCTGCCTGCCCCCCCCCTCTCTCTTTCTCTCTCTCTCTCACACACACACACACACATACATAGAGATACACATAATTCCCAAAACTTTTTCAGGAGGGCTAAAAAATGGAGGAGGCAGAGAGAACTGTAGGGTGCAAGGAGAAAGGAAGAAAAAAGCAGTATAAATTTATCTATTAGATTTATACCCCGCACCATCTGGCAGCCAGGCCACTCTGGGTGGCTAACAACAACAAGACAAACAACACAATATTAAAACACAATAAGAATAAAATAATACAAACATTCAACAGATACAATAACTAGTACGATAAATTAAAACAGATAGCTATAAAGATGGTAGAAAGGATGATGAAAGGATGGCAAAAAGGATGATAAAAGGGAAGCAGAGATATCAGCAACTTAATGCTCAGGGAAAGCCTGATGGAAGAGCCAAGTTTTCAATGCTTGTTTACACCCTTCCAGCAAGGGTGCCAGGCGTATCTCCACGGGCAGATTGTTCCACAGGTGGGGCGGGGGGGGGGGGCTGCCAAGAAGGCCCGGCTTCTTGTTCTTTCCCTCTGGGCCTCCTTCCGTCAAGGCCCTCAACCGCCCTGCCTGTGAAGAACGGGGGATAGATCAGGCTGGGAGCAGGCATTCTGATAGGTACCAAGGTCCTAAACTGTTTGGGGCTTTGTATGTTATTATCATAACCTTGAAGTTGATGCAGAAATGAATCGGTAGCCAATGAAGGGTGGCCAGAATGGGGGAGATGTGCTGAAATTTCTTCACCCCAGTTATTAATCTGGCCACCAAATTCTGAAGAAGTTGTAGTCTCTGCAGTAGTCTGTTCTGGAGATTACGAGAGGTTTTTAAGAAAAACCTAAATAAATTGGGTGCAGATGGCATTTTCATGCACATCCAAGTTGGCATATTGGCTGTTGTCCTTTAGGGCTGCATATTTCTATTTCACAGCTCAATATATAAAGACACAACACAGCTATATGTCTTTTAAGATTTGCAAAGTCTGTATCTGTCTTTATTTCTTCGATTCCAGCACTTTAATGACATCACATCATTGTACACCCTAAAACCTCCATCTGAATCGACATCTATGAATGACATAGTGCCACTGCAAGAAAACATCAGGTCTGCCACTTCTTCTGGTTCTCAAGTTCCTTTTCCTGAGGATTTTTTATCCAGTTTTCAAGAATCCAGTCCCTTTACTGAGTATTCACAATGCTTTCCTAAACTGCATAACAGCAAATGCTGTTCCCCAAGTTACAGCCAAAATATATCCTGCACTGCAAGTCCCAACTTAATGGGACCTTCAGTAGTCTATGAAGGAGGCATTTCATCCTTTCAGGATAATAACAAAGTAGATAGACAGCATCACCTCTCATTTCCAAAAACAATGGAAACAGGAAGAAGAGTACATTTGTCATTAACACAGAACAGTATTGACACACCTATCAGTATTTGCTGCGGAGCCCCAATGCCACAGTTAGGGTATGACCAAAATGGTAGTAATACTTACCTTGAAAAGTGTGGACAAAGCAGAATGTGCCTTTCAAAGGCAGCAACGGGCCAAAACTTACGAATGCCGGTCTTCTTAAAGAACGCTGTTCGTCAAGCTGCTAAAGATGTTCATGGGGTGAAAAAGCAACGTGACTCTGACCTGGATTTCAAACAGCCGTGGTACTTTGTTTCCAATAAAGATGTTCCATACCAGCAGTGCTCTAGCAGTTTTCTAGGAGAATTTGGCAGGGGAACACCTGGCAGTCCAGAATTTCAATTTGAGGAGAGCTTTAGGGATGGCCACTTATTCACACAAGCAAGGGATTCATCTTCTTGTGCTCCAAATTTCTGTGGAGCAGCCTCCAATCCAGACATATTTTTTAACCTGGACTTTCGAACTGGAGAATATACAGGAAAGAAAGGGCTCAGTTTATTACCATCTAAGCCAAGGGAGCAAGATGCCCCAGCAGGTATGTTAAAATGTTGCATCTGCTTTTTTTTAAATGGCAAAATTGTGACAATTACATGCCAGGAATTCATTAAATGTATGCATTGCTTTAATCGCTCTTAAGTACAGTACTTTGTTAATAGGTTTTTTTGGAAAATATTTTCATATACAGTACGTTCAATTTGTAAATAATTTTCAAAAAAAATTCAAAAATATTGTGCTTATTTTCTATATCACTTTAGCCTTCCAATATTCACAGCCCTGTCTGACATCTTAGACTATATAAGAGACAAACAATTAGACAATTTTAGGCTTTAGCTGTATATCACAGGATCTTTTAGTGCAGAGATGATAGTTGTTCTAAATCATGCAGATATGTGCGAATGGGTGAGCTGCCCATTTTAAAAATGGGGGCATGTAAGCCCTATGTGCCATTCCTGTGGGGTGCAGAACTGGGTTTTGTCTACCTTCTAATACCAGGTGTTAGTTTCATGCCTAGCTTTGCTGCTTCAGATACTACCAGGTGGCGAAGCAAGCTGCAACTAAGCAGGGAAAGGTTAACTGAAAAGTGTTACATTCGTCATACAGTATTGTCAAATCTTGGGGAATGATATACCAGAGTTGTAAATAATGTTGCCATCTATCCCTCACGGATTAGAGATGACTCTGTAGTTTCATGGATGACTTGTGATACATAACAGCAAAATGTACCACTCAGTTGTTTTTAGAACAACCAGAGATTGTATCAGCTTTAGCTTCCAAGAACACATACACTTTCAAATTAACACACAAGTTTTCAAAAAACAAATCCCACTTCATCAGATGTATAAAAGATTCTGAAAGTGGTGGAGAGATAAATGGACAGACAGAGCAAGAGAGAGAATGGATGTAAAGCAAGGGGGGAATAGTAAACTATGAAGTCACAGAGAAGTGGGTGCAGAAAAAAAAAACTTCTCAATTACATTACAGTTTTAATGTATGTGTAAAATAAATACAGTGATCACTCCCTAACCTGCATTCATAACATAAACTTATCTATGATGGCACTGGCAAGCTGATTCATACATATTAAGGTATAAAAATCCATAATCTTGATACCGGCCATAGGTGAGAGATTTCAAATTTTTGACAACTGTCGTTCAGTATGAGATTTAACCTTTTAAGTTGTTTTTCTCATAAATACCCATTTCAAGGATTGTGACAAAAAAACCCATCGGTATAATTAAAATGTTGCTGTCCCTTTCTGAATATCAACCATATTTGTACAAGATTTGCTGTAGATGTACAGTTTGCTTGTAGATTGATCTGTGGATTTACAATGCTAAAATCTCATTGAAGACGTAAGATCTCAGGAATAGCCAGGAATTAATTATCTGTGCAATAAGTGGAAAATACCACACTTTTTATGACAAGTACTCTCATTAAGGGGCCATTGGAATTTCATATCTGTTGCTCTGAACTTCAGAACCAGAGGCTGAGATATAACTCAAAATGAGAAATATCAGTGTTAAAGCCTAATACAGCACATGGTTCAAAGAGGGAGCATTTGATAGTTGAAGGGTTGTAACTTTATCTCAATTTTAAGTTCACATATATTTAAATATTCAATTGCTTTGGGTGGGAATCACCTTCTTTCTTAAAATGGCCATGTAGAAAATAATCTAGCCAATATTAAGCACTTCAGTGAATCAAATAGGAGAGTTAAGTAGATATTAAATACTTTGATATTGAAATCTGTGCTTTGCTTTGACGAGATCTCACCCTTCAATATATAAGCAGGCTTATTTTTTTCTCATTAATAGGAAGAATTAATGAGTCAAATATGCATAATCATGAAATGTTCAATATATGACAACTCATTTCTACATTTGTTTTTCCTTTTCCATGTTTAGAATTCACTCAGATACCACAGCTTAAAAAACGCCGTCTAACATTTGAAAAAGATCCTGGGAGAAGTGATGGTCAAACACGTCTCAAATTCTTTTAAAGGAAACACAGGCTTCCAAATATCTGTTTAAATCTAATGTACTTCCATGACAACCGTTTTAAATTCATTTCATAATCATTTTAATCTAATAGTCACTTATTCTTATGCATTAAAAGAAAACAAAATATATGCTGCTATTCAATGCTTACTCATGCTTAGGCTTCTTGAGATTTTAGAAAAATATGTGTGTTTGATTACAATTATCGGATTAAAATAAACTGTTCCTATTTAATTTGATTGTTACGTGTTATCAAGTTGGAATTTTATAGCCTAATAGGGCTTTCAAGGTATGTTAGATGCTCAAAGAGTGGTTTTACCAGTTCCACACCCCCAGTGAGTTTCCATGGCTGAGCGGGGATTGAAGCCCAGGCCCCCGAGTCCTAAGTTTGTCACAGTATCTGCTTCACCACATTAGGTATCCATTTAATTATATAGTCACCTTATCATTATTCCATAGTATCAGTATGAAAGGGTCTGTATTTTCAACTCTGTGGTTAGAATATCCGTCGTCCTTGCCCCAGAGGCACTACGTGTATAGTGGGGTCTCTACTTAAGAACTTAATCCGTATTGGAAGGTGGTTCTCAAGTTGAAAAGTTCTTATGTTGAATCTGCATTTCCCATAGGAATGCATTGAAAACCATTTAATCTGTATCTGCTCTTTTCCGTCCATAGAAACTACAGTGGAACCTCTACTTAAGAACTTAATCCGTTTTGGAATGGTGTTCTTAAGTTGAAACGTTCTTAAGTTGAAGCAGAATTTCCCATAGGAATGGACTGAAAACCAATTAATCCGTTCTGGCTGTTTTGTTGTTACGTAGAGGTGCGTTCGTACATTGAAGCATTAGTTCCCATAGGAACTAATGCAAAGCTGGTTAATAAGTACTCTACCACTAGGGGGAGATTTTTTTTTTAACCTAAGATGACCTAAGGTTAAAAAAAGAGCAGGAAAGGTTTTTTTTTCCTGTTCTTATCTTGGATTTCTGTTCTCAAGTAGAAACAAAATTTAGCATATGGAGCTGTTCTTAAGTTGGATTGTTCTTAAGTAGGGACGTTCTTAAGTAGAGACCCCACTGTATCAGTCATGACAGAATCCAAAAGAGCAAGACCAAACAAAGGACTGGTGGCCACCACCAGTGGGCTAACCCTGCAGTGTGTTAGAGCAAAGCTTTTCCTTCACAATGGATCCTGCATCTTGGCTAGCAAAAAGTCTGAGGGGGGGGAAGAGGGCATGTGATGATGATTCCATTCTTATGGTTCCTCTTGTAGTCAAAACCTTGGTCATTGTGCAGGGGAGAGTGTTTATTTTTTTACTCATCAGGGGGTGTTTAAAAACCTGTGGAGCTCCCCATTTCTTTCAAGGATGTGAAGAATAATAAAAGGGAACAAGAATGAGCAGAAGCCTGGATGATATACAACTGCTTCCCCTCTGTATTTAGATGCTGAAGGGAAAATGCAAGAGGGTTACAAAGTAACCTGCCTCCGTTACAAGGTATGGCTGGACTCCACATTCTATGCTATAGGATCTCTTCCAGCTCTTTAGTTCTAAGATGATTATTATTGTCATGTTCCCACCTGTCCTTTGGTTGTTTCACCAAACAAAGGCCACAAGCTACGTGTCGTGTTGCTGCCACCAGTTGATTACATCAACATTATGTATTATTAATAATAGAGGTCCAGGCAATGTGTCATTTAAAAAAGAACCAAATAGAAGGTGTTTATTATTACAGGTGATGAAGTTACAATCAGTGTCTAACTCTTCACAAAACATCCAATTTAATCCACTCTCAGCCTTTCTCTCTCTCTCCACCCCAGACTCCAAAACCACACCAATCCTTCACTTTAAACTCCTGATCTCTAATCTAACTCTCTCCTCCCCCTGCAGAGACTCTTATATGTCACGAGCCCACCTCTCCAGCATTCTCATTGGTCCATGGAGATAGCATATTAATATTCATGACCTGGGCCACAATGATGATTACAGATTGTCTTAGAAAATTTCAAATACATTTAAAAAACACACATATAGAGCTCTGTTGTATGGTTAAGTAACCTCAAAAGACATCAAAACAGCTGTAACAATATTGACACTTCATAGTCACAATCTGTGATTGCATTTTAGCTTAGAAAGATGTGACTTTTTTAGACACAGGTTTCTAGAACTCAAGAAAGATCACTCTTAATGAACAATTAATAATCCAGTCCTAAACTTTACTGCTTCAGAAAAGAAACTGCTAACTTTTGCATCATCAATCTTACTAGCAATGCAGTGATATCTACATTGTGCTCAATCGGAACCCTTGTCCCCTGTAGCAACTTGAGTGCAATGTAACACACCATCCCTGTTAAAAATATATGCAGCCTTTAAGATGTTCAAGAAATAGTAGCACTAAAAGCACACCAGGACTGGTTTCTTGCATCTATTATTATTATGAGCATATATAAAAGAAGCAAATGAAGCATCCCCAATAAAAGCAGGAAACTTTTCCTGTATCCCTCAATGAAATGTCATGTAGATTGATTACAGAGCCTACACAGGGATATAGATCCATGGGAAGGCTTATTATGACCAGAAAGATAAAATGCTGAAATAACTTGCTATTCAGGTGTGCTTTAGGGAGGCTTTCTGTATGGTCTAAACCAGGGGTCTCCAACCCCCAGTCTACGGCCCCGTGCTGGTCTGTGGCCTTGGCAGGACCAGGCTGCAGAGACAGATCTGCCACCACCCCCTGCAGGCACTTCCCTCATGGACACCTACCCACACACATGGCCTGCCCACCTGCATGCATGGGTGCCCTGCCCACCTGTGTACACACAAACGTGTCCCACCGACCCGTGAGTGCACCCTGCCCCCATGTGCGTGGGTGTGAGTGTGCCCTGCCCACCCACAAGGGTGCCCTGCCCTCCCGCAAGCATGGAGGTGCTCTGCCCCCGTGCACGGACCCCCCCCCAACCAGTCCACAGTTCAGAAAAGGTTGGGGACCACTAGCCTAAACCACCAGTAACTGGACTGCAATTAATTAAAACATTCACTAAGAATTCTGTTGTCTGTGGACAGAACATATAACAATGGGGAGGAGATGATCCTAAAATAGCATGGATTTGAAAGTGAAGTGTGGAACATCAAGGGTGGAACAGTCACTATTTTTGATGCATTTTTGTGGTCTCTGGCCTAACAAATTTCCATTGCCACAGATCTGGCAGCACTTTTACGAAATGTTTTCTAAATTCCTATCTCAGGAATCTTGTATGTCAAAGCAATATAAATGTACAGACTGTAATCATAACCAGCCTGAGGTTGGGAAGACATGTCAGCTTCCCCCCCACACACAGGTTTTATACAAGCTTCACAAATGCTTCTTTTCTATTTCCTTATTTAGCCTTTAATGTGCATGTATTTCAATCCTATACATTAAGGCCAATCATCTGAAAATACAGAAAATAGCCTGTGGTAGGTTCATTTTAAAAATGTGTAGCCAATTTTAACAAGCCTTTCGGGGCTTTTCAATGTAACACTTCTCATTTGGACTCAACCTCAAAACATCTACTATAGCTTTTTCTCAAGAAGGAATAAGAAAAGCAAAACTGCCTTATTCCAGCTGCAAGTCATGTTTCCCCAAACCCACAAAACATTACTGTGTTTTTAGAAAATACTTCTAGAAAGTATTTCCAGAAGAGAGAACATCCTGAAGCACTGAGAAAGCAAAACATGGTTCACTTTTTAGAAATCTGTGTTCCTCCCCTGCTGCATTCATACATAATGCTGAACACATTCAACACTATGTGGTGATCATTCCACCCTCTTCCTCCCATGAGGCTGAGGAGAGGACTTATGGCAAGTCTATTTTCAATATTGAAGAATTCTGGCTTAACATGGCATACAAGATAGTTTTGCCTCAAGTGCTGGAACAAGAAGCTTCTCCAAATTCCTTATCCAGGGAAAGCTTTATTTCATCCAGGCCTCCACCTCCCAAACATGTGAAGTGCTAACAAACAGCACCGTTGTCCTGAAAGGATTTAGCCTCAGTTCACTGGCCCTCATCCGTCACAGTTTCTACACACTGGCCCAGTATCTGTAACTGTTTCCTCAGATTCTGACAGAATATGTAGGTGGGAATTAGGTTTCATCCATATATTGGTGTTGCCTCACTTCAGGCTTCTCAACAGCTCTTAACAGTGGCATCATACAGCACCTCGTGGTTTATTGTGTGGTCAGGCAGCTATCTCCTCAGTGCTACTCTAGAGGTAGTTTCACAGGAAGAAGCAGAACCACTGTCCTCACTGTCTCCCATCGTACAGAACTACTCCATGGCTGATGATGTCAAAAACCCCTGCGAGGCCCCAAAGAAAAGAGTGCTCTTTGCATTCATCCCAGTAAGTTCTTCCATCAAAGCAGTTTTGCTGCTAAATGCAGGCCTGAAGCCATACTCAAATAGGTATAAAAACAATCTGTTTCATCCAAGCAGATCTGAAGTTGACTGGTTATCACTCCACTGCTTTGGTCGGAAAGATGTTAGCAATCATGTGGTGGTTGTGCAAAACCACTGGATCCAGGGAAGATCTCCAGAGGGCTTTCAGAAGTACCTCTTGCAACCCTCCCCAAAGTTGTTTCCATTTATTCTCAAACTGTGCTTCCTTTTTTCACACCATTAACAAAGCAGTCCAAGTAAATTAGGGAAAGAAAGATTTATTTTCCTTAAGCTTCTAATATATTAATACAAACAACGGTGCATAAACGGAGTATTTTTTTTACAAAGTAAACAGTGTGTGTAAAAGTGCTCCTTAATCAAACAAACAAACAAAAAAAAAGGCACCCCACCCCGAAACAGATATAATAGGTTCCAATAACATTGCAGACTTTAAAAGGTCTGACCTATGGAACGTCTGGTGTTTGTATTGTGTAACATAGTGTTCTATGACTGTTTCCTGAGTTATCATCTAGACACTTTAGATTTTTGTAAAAGCACAATAAAAAATAAAAGGCTAGACCTTCCATTGTGAACAGTTAGAAAGAATTTAATCTGTGCTACATATCCAGGCTGTTTTGCTGTAACTCACTATAAATTCTCACCTACTGGTTTCAAGAAAAGGGGCAAGGAGGGGGAGTTCAATACAGAAAACATGTCTTGCCATATAGCAGGAATGGGCAGTGTAAAGATTGGTTGAGGCACTCATCAGAGCCAGACATGGCTGATGGCAGTGGTGGATGGGCCCTGGATTGGCAGCGAGTGTGGCCAAGCTTGGCATCCCTTTCCCCTCCCACTCCTGGACAAACACACATGATGCCTGCCCACACAGTCATTCTCCTTCCCTCTCTCTCAAGGACAAAAACCTCCTCCTTTGCCACACACTTTCCCCACATCTAGGAAAATGTACACACTCATTCATCCTCCTCACACCCCATCAGCATGGATGTCACTATAGTGCCTCCCACTCTCTTGCTGGCTGGCTCGGGGAATTACTGAAGAGTATGCAAGGGTTAGGTATCTGGCTGTGGAGCCAGAGGCTGGAGCCATGGTTCCTCGCTGTGCCTCCTGGGAGAAGAGCCTGCCTGTGTGGCCTTGGGCAAGCTGCCCAGTCCCAGGATGCCTCCAGAAAAAGGGAATGGTAAACCACTTCTGAAAACCCTGAAAAGGGTCACCATAAGTCAGAACTGACTTCATGGCACACAGTTAATTAATTGAATCCAGTTGGTGTGCTCCTCTGTTATTCCCAATGACAACCAGTTGAGTAAGTAGGGGCCACCATGATTTCATGGAGTGTAAGGGTGAATAGGACCCCACATGAGTTTGTGGAAGAGGAAAATCTATACAAGATAGTCATTCCTGTATTTTGACCTTCTGATTGAATTCCTGTATTTTGCCCTTCTGATCTCACCACCACCACCACCAGCTGTTTAACAGGTTGGAGAGAGCCCATGTTTCATGGGTGTGGCAGCAAGAAAAAAAAATCCATTCCCAGATACCTTCTCCCCATCATATCCTCAGCCTGTAAAAGACATAAATGGCAGACTTGCAAAGAGTGTATGGAACTGGGGTCTTTAGCATGTGAGGTGGGTCACTGTGAAAGCTTCCAAAGATCACATGCAAGTCTCTAGATGTGCCGTAATGAACATCGTAATTTGGTATGCTCTAGCCAAAGTTAAGCACTTTTAATTGAAATCTTCTGTTTCAAAAGTGGAGGGTTAGGTACATGCTTATAGATCTCCCACCTTAGCCAATGGGACAGTGCTGTAACACTTTACACTTATTTATTCAAAAAACTCAGTTCATGAGAGTACAGCCTCAAATTGTCTTAACTTTGGCTGTGAGAATCCTTCTTCAGTTAAATGTAAAGCGATGGGTAAGAAGGTACCTAGTCAGTGTCTCATTTAGGCACAGCCATTAATAAATGAATAGGTTGTTTGGTATTTTTTTTCTAAAATGTAAACATCTCAGAGGAGTAAGTATAGAAAGGAGACAGACTCAATTATAAAAGGAAAGCCTTTTCCTTATAAAATGCTTTATACAAGTATTAGAAAAAGATCTAATTAGTTACCAACATGGTCAAGCAGACTAATAAATATCAAAAGATGCAGTTTTGGCCACACAGAAGGAAGGATACTGAAAAAAGGTCCATTGAAAAAAGGAAGGCTGATGAGATTCTGCTCATACTTGAAGAAAACTTTCCGATAACCTTTCCTGCAAGGTGAGAGGGGAAAGCTCGATTAAAATGTTGTCCATCCATTCAGAAATCATTATATATTGTATCACAGCACCCAAAATTCCACCATTACAATAGAAACATTTCTTTCTTCCAAGGAGCTTGTGTGAAATAGGATACAAGGCATCCCTGCACCTGCAGAAACAAGCACGCTGTACTGCTTAGAGCAGAGGTGGGGCATCCCTGGCCATGGAGCGAGAACTGGTCCTCGTGTGGCGTCGCAAGCCAGCCATTTATGGCTCTCTTGCTGGCCACAGCCCCTTCTCTGTCACAACGTGGTTGGTGGTTTCATCATTGTTTCTATGGATTTCCTCCATTCTGAAAGTTTTTTAATGCCTCTCCTAAGCCTGAGTTACTGTGAAGAAGAACTCTGACCTCATATATGCTGGTATTCTTGATCCTATTCTTTTCTGTTTTGTTCTGTCTACCACTGGAATGCAGGCGCCCTCTCCAAGAGCTTCTTTGAAGCTGAATTTGGCACTTGAACTAAAAGAGGTTCCATACCCTTGGCGTGCAGTCTCTCCCTGACAAGCTACCGGGCTCTTTGGTGTCAGAGATGGAAAGTACACTTTGCTCTTACCACAACAGAAGTTCCTAAGTGCAACGTTTGGCTCCTCTTGCCATGAGGAGGGGATGAGGACCATTCACACACTTGACAGAAATTACTCATGGGCAAGGTTCCCTCTAAGCTGCACTGTTCTGTGGGTGTACAGAACCGTATAGGTGCCACACACCCGCAGTTAGTGTTGCTTGCTACACACTTAGTTCTGGTCACAGCTGGAACTTCGCATGAGGGGTGGGGGCAGGGCTTCCGCTCAATGCTGGTGGAAAATTAGAAGGAAATTTGCTCCTGGACACCACGGGGAACCGACACACTGGATTCCTTGCACTGGTATGACCTCAGCTACTATGAATCATGTCTACTTGTACCTGCATACTATCCCAGCTGATCTGTTTTCTGAGTCACAACTAACTCCACAGGTAGCACTTCCACATCACCTTCGGGGATGGCATCCCTGAACATGAAAGGGTGGGACTACCTCCCCTCATCATCCACCCAGCTAGCCGCAGTCACAGAGGTAGATCTTCACATATTAGGGACTCAGGCCTGTTTTCCCCAAGAATTGTACTTGCCTTCAGAGCAATGTGCAGGACCTGGGCTCCCGAAACGGGTTGCTTCCGGCAGGAACTCCAACAAGCAAAGCATCTTTGCAAGCGTTCTGCATACAGTATTGCTGAAGCTCTGCGGCAGCCTGAGACACCTGGATGACAAAAACAAAAGCAGGAGACATTACACAAGACACCATCACGACATTTCTGGCAAGGCATCACCTGTTATTTCTGAAGCTTTGATGCAATCCTAGTTTCACATGAGCCAATGTGCTACAGAAACAAAGACAGGAAAGCCTATGGCTGCTTCTCCAACTTCGCGGACTCCCGTCAGCTGACAACATCCACTGGCCCCAGCCAGCATGGCCAGGGACCAAGACACCTCCCTCCATATGGGACTGAAAAAGATCTTAAGATCCAAGTCAGCATATATGTAGTGGGCAGCTCCCGTGGGCATTCAGGCCATTTCAAACCAGCTGATTGCTGGGAGTGGGGGGCGATGTTCCCAGGGAGTCCGGGCGAGAGTGAACAAGGTGCATCCAAAACAGTTAATGAACTAAAGTCCTTTGAAAAACGTTAATAGATTATAGTAGTTCAGCCTTTTAGTGGAATCCCAAAATATGTAAAAGAAACTACCAGATGTAAAAGCAAAAAAAACACCTTTTTTAATATCTATATATGGAAATATGTAATCCCAAGACCATCCCACCGCAACTCCAAGTTTAGATATGCAAAAGGGAGAGAAAAGGAGAAAGAAAAAAAGAAGTTTCCTTTGTTCTATGTCAATACTGGCTTATTTCCATGGTTTACTTTGTGGTTTTCCCTTGGGAAACTTTGGATTGGCTCTACAATAAGTGGGCAAGGTTTAAGGAAGAGTAATGCTAAGGAAACACCTGGGAAGTAAATGGTAACTGGGGGCTTCTCTCTTCAATGAATTGGGGGGGGGGCTTGCTTGCTGCCCTCTAAATCCTCTTGGATTTAGCAGTTTACGGCCACATTTCAAATTGCAGCCATTTAATATTTTTTTTCTCTCCTGGGACAAAGCTGCACTGAGATGTGGCCCCAAGGAGTGACTGCCCACCACTGCATCTATGGAGGGAGGCTTTCCTTTCATAGAAGCTGGTCTCAAGCTTTTAAGACAGGGAGGAAGTAACCTGCAGTCCTCCTGTTAGTTGACTACAATTGATCTGATCTGATCTGATCTCGTATGGTGATATTGAAACCTTATTTCTGGAGAGAATAAATCTATCATTTTCTATCACCGATGAGCTCCAAATTGGAATTCCAGGTTCAAATACATTCACAGCCAATCTGAAATTCAGGAAAGCTGTTCAGCTTTGATTTGGGATGATTCCCAGATGGCTGGTATAGAACACTGGTTCTTAACCTTGGGTTACTCAGGAGTTTTGGACTGCAACTCCCAGAAGCCTTCACCACCTGCTGTGCTGACTGGGGTTTCTGGGAGTTGCAGTCCAAAAGCATCTGAGTAACAAAGGTTAAGAACCACTGGTATAGAACACATTGAAACAGTATGCTCCTTTTTCCAACAAAATGAAATGGTTTCTATTGCTATGTATTATCCTGGGATATGAATTTAGATGAAACTCTCTCACAGTCTATTTCCATGAGCTTTAAATTGAGAACCACTAACACTGACCTCTGACAGCAAGAGACTGTCCTGGAAATGTCAGCTTTCAAGGCAAGAGTGGTAGGGAGAGACTGCTTGTAAGAACGGAAATGCTTGCTGTGACTGACCTAGAAAGCGTTCGCTGCAAACGTTGTAGAAAAAAAACCCTGTGTATCTGAACTAAAGTCCAGAAGAGGAAGACTCAGCAATGATACAGCATTAAAGAAACACGGCTAGAAGCAATAATAGCTTCTGGCTGAAAATCAAAATTTGTTCTAAGGTTATGATCATTGTCTAAAAGCCAGGTGTTTTTACTTGTTTATGTTAGCCAATCTGCCAAACAGGACATTGCCTTGGGGGGGGGGGCAAAGAGCCAAAAAGGCTGGCTCTTCAGCCTTTGCTGTACCCCATCCAAAATACAGCCCCTCTTAAGAAGCCATGTTTCCCCTCTGGGTCCCTTATCACACAGGAGAACATGCTTGAAGTGTGTGGTTTAGGAAGAGAACATCCGGAGATAGGAGAGGTCGATTTTTGGACCAAAACAAAATTAAAAACAGAATTCATGAACCAGCATGGCCAAAGAAACGTATCTCAACATTTTTCATGCAGAAAAAGTGAGTTTTCTCACTTCTTAAAGCCCAGTGTAATTCCACAAATAAACATGTATTTATTTATATCCCGCTTTTCCACCACTAGTGCCCAAGGCAGCTGAGAACACATCCAATGAGTTAATATGACAAAGCAAAAGCACAGCAACAATTCCAAGTAACCACTGTATCAACGGAGAGATACACAGCAAAACAATAATACTACATTGAATGAAATACGGGGGGCCAAAGAGCCAAAAAGGCTGGCTCTTCAGCCTTTGGTGTACCCCATCCAAAATACAGTCCCTCTTAAGAAGCCATGTTTCCTCTCTGGGTCCCAGATCACACACAGGAGAACATGCTTGAAGTGTGTGGTTTAGGAAGAGAACATCCGGAGATAGGAGAGGTCGATTTTTGGACCAAAACAAAATTAAAAACAGAATACCTGAACCAGCATGGCCAAAGAAATGTATCTCAACATTTTTCATGCAGAAAAAGTGAGTTTTCTCACTTCTTAAAGCCCAGTGTAATTCCACAAATAAACATGTATTTATTTATATCCCGCTTTTCCACCACTAGTGCCCAAGGCAGCTGAGAACACATCCAATGAGTTAATATGACAAAGCAAAAGCACAGCAACAATTCCAAGTAACCACTGTATCAATGGAGAGATACACCGCAAAACAATAATACGACATTGAATGAAATACTTGACTGTATTTTCCAGTCAGGTTTCAGGCAGGGTTCTGTTTGTGTGTGACAGTTATGCAGCCAGAAGTGAACAGTTGGAGTGAAGTGTTCTGTCAGCAATGTAACCAGCCAGTTAGTTAATAATGAAGTACTGTAAATTAAGCAGTTAAGCTCAGGAATGTAACAAGTTAACATTTCAACAACATATGTTTATTTTTAGATAAAAACTGTGAGTAAAATGAAACCTTTTATTGTTATACCAGAGTCTCCAAGTGAAAGTACTGAAACAAATAATTGCCAGTTGAGGTAAACTAATAAATAAGGGGTGGTTTATAATTGCCAGTTGAGGTAAACTAATAAATAAAGGGTGGTTTACTAAAGGAGACAGTAGTTCAATCTTCTCTGTAGGTTCCTGCCAGAACCATTTTTTTATCTGCTGAAGGATTGTTTTTTAAATTAAGGCCACGTTCAACAATTTCCTCACACCAACTCTGCCAAACACAACACTTTATTCAGGCTGAGATACGCAAGACCTTGGTTTTATGGTTCTTGTGGTTTTATGTCACAACAATGAATGGTGATCTACTTTATTATTCATTTCACAAGCCAACTCTCTGAGGAGAAGTCTTTTCCTCCCTAAGCTTTATTAGCTACAGTGACAGAAAATTGTGTGGCACATGCTCAGTCTAGTACCCTCCAAATTATACATGCTATATTGCCCAAACTCTTTCTAACATGGAAGTTATCACACAATGACTTCATTTAAAAAGTGTGCCAATTGAATCAAGGAGACCTACAAAAACAATCTCTTTTTTTTTTGGCACTGTTCTCTGTGGTGTGGTCGAAAGAGCCTCTTCATTACAAGCTTGGTTATTTACTTAGCTTTGTTGATGTCCCACCTATTATAAAGCAGTTCACAATGGTATCAAAGCAACGAGAAGTACAGTAAACAAACAGCTATTAAAACATTAAAAAGTAAAAAGAACAAATCAACTTTCAAACAGAAACAACACAAGGAGGAGTCAGATCTCACTGTTGCCAGTCATCCACTGCTTCATTGACTTGTCGCCCTGTTCATTATTATGACAACTAACTAGAGATGGGAAAATTTTACTCTGGCACTGTTGCCAGTCATCCACTGCTTCATTGTCTTGTCGTCCTGTTCACTATGACAACTAACTAGAGATGGGAAAGATTACTTTGAGAGACTAAAACTCCCACAATCCTACAGCTGATAGATCTTGAAAGTTATCATTCAGTGACCTAACTCTCCCCATCTCTGCAACCGGGCACTCGTGAATGTTCAAAGGGGACAGGCAGGTCTTATTGTGGTGCCAAAATGTCACAGACGTTGCCCCTAGGCAGTCCAGAGTTCAGGTGCCACCACAAGGAAGGCCTTACCTTATTTCAGTGCCCAATGTACTTTTCCTAATGATGGGGCAATAAGACAAAATTTTTCTACTTCCCAGGATCTAAGAGCACAGGCTGGCTGCTATAGAACATTTCATGAGTTCAATTCCTCCTTGTGCCTCCTTGATGGGCTGGACTCGATGATCAATAGGGCCCCTTCCAGCTCGGGAATCTGATGATGATGGTGATGAGTATCATTCTCTGATGCACCCCAACCTGTGGAATTAAAAACTCCAGCCTGTGGTACAGTCACTAGCCAATGTGATGTAGTGAACAGAGTAACAGACTAGGTAACAAAGGTTAAGAACCACTGTTGTAGTGAACAGAGTAATAGACTAGAACTCATGAGACCTGGATTCAATTCCCCAGCACTGTGGTGGAAACACACTAGGAAGTCGAATTAGTAAAACCACTCCTTAAATATCACGTTCACCTTGAAAACCCTATTAGGATCACTGTAAGTCAGTTCTGACCTGATGACACATAACAGCATCCTGGTATGTCTTCCTATTGAAACCTGGAATGCTTAAGATTGCCAGATTTAACAACACTGAAAGCACATGTGTCAGGTAGAAAAGGGGGACAACCCCAATTCACAACTGATGATGATTTTACACCACATGTAATGACTTCCCAGTATTACTTAATAAAATAAGAATTATGTATCATCAAGGGTGGCTCCTAACAACTCACAGTTATCTGAGTCTATTAGGCCAGGTTTTTAATACAAGGTCAATCGAATCCATGATCAAAAGGAGAACTGCTCTCACTAGGGTAGACACAGTTCTTGATCTGAAGAGGGTTGAGGATGTTTTACCCTAAAGCCTCCAGGAGAGGAAGCCACCCCAACCACCAACCACCCCACTTTGGAGCACTGGCTGCCTATGCATGGGACTGTTTAAAAAGCTGGACTGACACCCTGCCTTCTGTGTTTTTCAAGTAAATAAAGCATTTGAATAAATAATAGCTTCATCCTATACAGGCAAACTTGATAATGAGTTTGACATACATTTCATTCTGCTTGAGTGAGATCTCACAAGAGCCACAGCCAGTGGGGAATTCTGGGCTTGAGGGAATAATGGTATGCCATGCAATCTGGTTTCACGTGTGTTCTATGGGATGGAAATCTATGGACTAAATCCACTGGTAGCTGCACCAAGAGGAATTTCAGTCAAAAATGGAGCCTATGAGTCAACAACGCAAGTCCACTGATTTTAAAGAGATCAACTCTGTGTAGACTTCTAATAGACCCTCTACATAGGACTAACAATGGATTTGATCCTACATGAGGCTGCATCCTAAAATGCAGTAGGAATAAATCCCACTGGACATAGTAAAACTTGTATCTGAGGAAGCAGGCATATGATGGTTCTGTGTATGGTACAGCCCAAGGCTAAATGGACAGAGACAGATGTGTTTCTTTCTGCAGACAGATGTTCAATTTTGTAAAAAAAAAAGCAGCAGGAGGAGATTCCTCCTCATTAGCACTGGCTTGGATCCTAACTAGGTGCCCATAAATGGAAGGAACCTTCACATTTAGATATAGAGAATAAGATCCAACAAGACCCCTGCCCCCCATCTTGTGCGGGTGGAAGGGAGGAGGAAGGGATTTCTGCCAAGCCATTCTTCCTGCAGCCCCCTCCCCACTATTCCAAAAGCCTCCATCGCTGAGACAGATTTTTCAGGGGCACAAAGAATGCATTTGTAGCAGCTCCTTTCTGCTCCTTTCTGTTGGTGTATTTGTGGGCACGGCCCTAACAATGAGAACAAATTCAGGACAGGCTGGCTGTCCTGAACAATCTTCTTGAACAATCTTTGTGTTACTAATGTTCTCATCCATCCATTCAACTGAACACTACAGTACTGCCATTACAGAGAGGGAGGGAGGGAGGAGGGAGAGGAGGAGAGAGACTTGCTCTAACCCCCTTCTCCGAAAGGCTGCTTTGCCTTTTTACAACTCTGTAGAAACGGTGATTAAACAAAGCAGCCTTTCTACAACTCTGTAGAAACGGTGATTAAACAAAAGAAGCTCCTACTGGATACAGGAGGGACTTTTTGCTCCCAGTTCATGTAGGTGAAGGCCATTTCTTTCCGGATGACAAAGGAAGGGTCATCATAGCTCATATGGACTATGCAACAGTCCTGCTCATCCTTGCAAACAAAGAAACATCTCCCAGGCAGCCAGAGAAAGACAGTCAGATGCAAGCTAGTGAGAATCTGGAGATCAGCTGCTGTCAAGAATAGAAAACAGAAGGAAATATCCAGATTCTCTTGAACAGTACAGACTTCCAATTTGGAATAGGAAGCAGTCATAGCTTCGGCTATACAATCACATGGGTTACCTAAGGATAAAAGGGGACTATAATTATAGGCTGTTTATTTATATGCCCATATTTTGTATAAATACACTGAGTTAAAAAGCATTTGACGGAACACCAATTTAAACGTGATAGCCACGATTTAGTTTTTACTTGATTTATATCCCGTCTTTTGGGTTGTTTTTTTTTTAATTATCCTATATTACAAGATAACACAGTATGTCGACCAATATTTATTCCCAAACGAAATATTTAAACGTTCATAAAAGACAGCCAGCCGCTCGATTCACCGGATCTTAGATCCTCAGAGGATCAACAATCGAGAGACCCACTGAGCCACCGTTTCATATTTAGGAGTGGCCAACAACGAGCGCCCATCCGTCCGCTCGCCTATTCGGGGCCAGAGCCGGGAGACGAAAACATGGATCGAACAAGAAGAGCCCGTAAGCCTTTCCCAAGGGCAGGCCGGGATCAGGGCCGGAGTAGCAAATCCCCCTTTCGCCCAGAGAGCCAAAGGCCTAGCCCCCCACAAGGAAAGCGTGCTGTTGCGTGGATAGTGGGAGAGCCAACCGAGGAGCTGCCTCCGCAGCCGGAATTACGGGCAAAGGAGAAACCCGGGCCCTCGACGGCGCCCCTGGGCTTCGCCTTCCGCCTCCCCGCCGCGGACAAAGGGCGCCTTGTGATGCCCCGGGCGCTGCGGAGCCAGAGGCGGCCGAGCCCTTCCTCTGCCCTCCCGGCACCCCTGGCAAACAACGGCGGCCGGGCGGTCGGAGGAACCAGCCCGGGTCCCGCCGCTGGGGCTCAGGCGCTGGCCTGCCTTCGAGGCCGCCGAGGCTGCGCCGCCTTACCCGGATCCTTTCCACGCCGGCCTCCAGCTTGAGCTGCTCCACCAGGCGCTGCAGGGTGCTGAGGCTGGAGTTGGAAGACATGCTGCCGGGCCAAGCGGGACGCGGGCAGCTCCTCGGCCCTCCCGCTGCTCGCTCTCGCTCCCGCTTCTCTGCCGGGCGACTCGGGAGCGCCACGCGTCGGAGTCCAGGCGAAGGCACTCTCCCGAAGCAAGAGGGAGGGAGAGAAGGAGGGAGCCGCGCCCGAGTTCCCCGCCTCCCGCCCCAGGCGGCCCTCTGTCGCCGGCCGGCCAGTCCGGAGAGATCCTGCCCGCCAGGGGGAGGCCCTTCCTCCGACTCGGACTCTTCCAAACCTCGGGCGACTCCCGAAAGAACGAGTCCTTCGCGATGGGGTTTGGTTCTTGGTCTCTGTAAATGCACACAGTTGGGGTTCGGTGCATCGGCATCGTCTTGGTTTCCTTTTTTCGCTTGTAGGCTCTTGCCGCAATTCCCAGGCTACTCGTTCGACTTGACAGACCGATCGGGGTGGGGATGAGTACAGAAGGTGGGTTTCGAAAAAATCACTTGTGAGGGCAAGATTCGCTTCTGTCTTCAAAATAAAGGTTTACAATGGAATATGAGGACATGCGTGGGCTTAACATTACATCCCAAGCTAATGGTTGGGAGTTCAATTCCCCACTGGGCCTCCTTGACAGGAGCTGGACCCAGTGGCCCATAGGGTCCCTTCCAGCTCTGCAGTTCTAAGATGATAGTCATTTTTGCGATGCTCTCTTTCTGCTTTAGGGATGTCGCTCCTGAGCGGTCAGCCGGTCTGAAGAAGGGCCCTCCGCCTCCCTAACGTGGCCCACCTGGCTTCAAATAATCACCAAACTCGTTGTGGTCCAACATAGAGTAGAGCTAAGAGTGATGATGATGAAGAAAATGACGCCTATTTATTACATTTTGGTCCTGATGGTCCCCCAAGTGATGTCCAACACAAAGAGAAAAACATTATTTAGAAAATAATTTTAAACCATTAAAAAATTAAAAGGTCTGTTGTTCCATGGTAATCTGCTAATTTTTATGTGTGCAGTCTCTTAACTGAGGGCCTTTCAGAGGTATATATTATCTGCTACCATGTCTACAGTGCCAGAAAAGCTGTGTACCACCCCTTGATTCTCCTGCCTGGGAATGAGGGTTAGTTTTCAGTAAGCTAAATCTTTCTATTCTACTTCCATCCTCTGTGTCTGAACTAGGAATTGATGCTGTCATTTCTGACTAATTTCAAGGTATTTCCCCCTCTGCCTTTCAACACATGACATATGCAGGTTATTATATATTTTAAAATATTATTTATCAGCTGTACATACAAAATTGCTAACATTTTCTAAGTGCTGCATGGTTGCTAAAAGATAAGACAGGCCCTACTTGCAGAATCAGTGTCTGAAATGCATATTATTAAAGGAAAAAGCAAATTGTGATGGAGGAGAAAAGCAAGCAGAGGGCTTAGGCTGATCTCCCCCTTTGCTATTCATTGTGTTCCTTCTGGGGAGACAGGGAATATATCTTTCCTTGGGTTAAGAAGTTAAATTGCTGCGCAAGGACTGGGATCACCCAACTATAGGGCAGATGCAGAAGAAATGGCAAGAAGGTCTGGTATGATATGTAGCAATATTCCTCTCTGTACCCAACACTTCAGATGCTGTAAATGCTAGTGCTTAAGCTGCTGCACAAACACTTAAGAGGTTCTTCGGGAAAGACTTCAAATACTGGAATACTCGGCCAAATGACAAAATTCTTTAGTTCTTCAGATGTTCTGAAGTGAGAAGTTACAAAAGAAGAAGAAGAAGGCATAGGCAGGTTATACAGTCCTAACGGACATCTGACTCTCTCATCCCTGATCAGTTGATGATCAGTTTGCTCCTTAGTTAGTTGCTTTATCATTCTGCCATTTAGTGAATTATAAACATAGTCGGTATAAACATAGTAGTCAGTGATACATACTGACTACTACTATAAATATAGTGGTCAGTGATACATAGTAGGCAATTAAGAATGCAGTAGCTAGCATACCTATGAAGACCAAAGGCTTATTCAGATTAAGTAAAAAAGTATATATAGGATGGAGCTGCAGAATGTAATAAGTGATCCAATATTTCCTGTTCTCTCTGTCAAAACAAGACTAACGAGACTGAAGGATGCCTATGCTAATGCTATGATACATAGTAGGAAATTAAGAATGCAGTAGCTAGCATACCTATGAAGACCAAAGTCTTATTCAGATTAAGTAAAAAAAGTATATATGGGATGGAGCTGCAGAATGTAATAAGTGAGCCAATATTTCTTGTTCTCTCTGTCAAAATAAGACTAAGAACAGATTGTGGTACTGATCATTAATTCCTAATATTAAAGTTGGAACAAAGATGAAGAAAAGCACTGAAAGAAACCTAGCGCAAAATATGACTTAAACAACATTTCAGATAAATGTAAAGTCAACATAAAGAACAGATTTGCATTACTAAACTCAATATATTGTGAACCAGAAAAAATGTGGATTGAAAAGAGATATTATTAGGGAACAATATTTGATTGTTCTTTCAACTAATGTACTGCCCCATAGTACTAGAGCGCTCTCTGGGTGGTTTCCAACCTAATTATGCAAAAAATATCCCCCCCCCCCCGGTCGTGAGCTGGGTACTCCTTTGGCAGACATTGGAAGGATGGAAGGCTGAGTCTACCTTTAGTTGCTACTAGAGATGGGGATATGATGAGGGTCTGGGGAGATGACCAGGGTGGAACTGGACAGTCCATTCATGATTGCACTGCTGCTGCGACCACCGCAGGGCCTTCCAAGGGCTCCGGAAAATGTGTTCGGTGAGCCACTCTTTGACCTAGCAGAGAGGCTTGTTGTCCTGCTTCCTGCCAGGAGTGGCTCACTGAACACGATCTCTGGAGCCATTGGAAGGCTCCACTGCAGTTGCAGCAGTGGCGGAATCCTGAGTGAACCATCCAGCCCCATGGGGCCAGACCCTCATCATCTCCACCTGTGGGGGGATAATCATATTTGTATACAAATACCCCCCATTCTAGTTGCTACCTAAACCCATCGGTATTGAATTCAGGTTGTAAGCAGAGACTTCACTGAGTGGACCACAGGGTTCAGAATGGCAAAAGACTAGTATAAAGAAAACAAAACCCCAGATGGATGGTGGAAGAAACACTCAACATTTTTAAGGGCAAATGAGAATTAAAAGAGGTGACAGAAGTAGGGCCAAAAGTCCTCAATGCAACATTTCTGCACCTATCACAGAGAGACAAAGTGAACTAATGGCTGGTGCAAAGAAACAGAAGAGAACAACAACAGAGGAAACATTGCTTCCAGATGATCCAAAAAAATCAAAGGAAAATTTCGGTTTAGATTAGGAATGCTGGAAGATCAACAGAGATGTGCTCTGTCTCAGCAAAAGAAAATGAAGAGAAGATGGAAACAGTATATTGAAGACCTACAGAGGAGACAAAGTGAACTAATGGCTGGTGCAAAGAAACAGAAGAGAACAACAACAGAGGAAACATTGCTTCCAGATGATCCAAAAAAATCAAAGGAAAATTTCGGTTTAGATTAGGAATGCTGGAAGATCAACAGAGATGTGCTCTGTCTCAGCAAAAGAAAATGAAGAGAAGATGGAAACAGTATATTGAAGACCTACAGAGGAGAGATAAAAGGATGACAGATTTCTTTGGAATCCTATCCTATAATTATGAATCTGCAGTTTTAGAAAGAGAAGTAAATGCTGCTATAAAAGCACTATTGAAAGAATGTTTGGTTAATTATTTTTAGTTAACAGAGCATAAAGTACAAAAGCCAGCTACAACACAGGGGAAAACATGAAGGAGAATACCTAAAAGTCCAGCTTCCACACAGCCCCTTTTGTTCTCACCTTGACTAGCCCTTTGCATATGAAAATAATTACAAACAGTTTAAGTAGAAAAAGAAGACATGTTGTCTTACAGTTGTGAAACTTCAGTTACAGTCAGAAGAATAAAAAGATAAAAGAAATAAATTGCAATCTCAATGAAACTGGGATACTGAAATCCACCATTCTCACCACATGGTCAGAGATCAGAATCAGATATCTGCTCAGGTCGAAAGTTATTTTCTCCAACAAGCACTGGGGAGAAAAAAGTCACCAGGGGTAGACAGAATACTGATAGAGCTATTTCAAGCCCCAGACTCTAAATCTCAAAAATCTAACAAGAATATGCCAATAAATCTGGAAAACAAAACAATGGCCCACAGACTGGCAACAATTAATATGCATTGCAATCCCCAGGAAAGGAGATGCTAAGGAGTGCAGTAACAATAGAACTGTTGCTCTAATTTCCCATGTGCAAAGCCCTTTGATTGTGTGAATCATGAGAAGCTGTGGATTATTCTGGAAGAAATGTGAATGCCTCAGCGCTTAATTGCCCTGATGTGTAACCTGCCTTGTGGACAAGAAGTTACTGTTAGGTCAGAATATGGAGAGACAGAATGGTTTGCTGTAGGCAAATGTGTCAGACAAGGGTGCATTTTATTTCCTTTTATCAATATATATTCAGAACATACAATATAGAAAGTTGGACTAGATTCAGATGAAGGAGGAGTAAAAATTAGTGGAAGAAACATTAAAAAAATTAAGCTATGCAGGTGACACTATTTTACTGGCAGAAAGCAGCAAAGACTGGAGAAAACTTCTGATAAAAGTGAAGGAAGAAAGTGCCAAAGCAGGACTGCAGTTGAACATTAAGAAGACAAAAATTGTAACTACAGAAGACCTACACAAATGTAATGTTGACAATGAGGAAATTGAAGTAGTCAGAGATTTTGTATATCTTGGTTCAGTTATCAGTCCTAATGGAGACTGCAGCCAAGAAATCAGAAGACTGAGACTTGGAAGGG